ACCTTCCGGGCAAAAGAAACCAGGTCCTCCTTCTTCCTACTATAGTAAAGACAATCGCTTGTCTTCAGACTCCAACTCTCAAAAAAGCGTGGCAAAAATGTATAGGAGAGCCGGGCACTGGTTGCCTATAATCCTAGCTACTCAGGAGGCTGAGATCTGAGGATCACAGTTCAAAGCCACCCTGGGGAAGGAAAGTCCATGAAATTCTTATCTCCCATGAACCACCAGAAAACTCGAAGTGGTACTGTGGCTCAAGTGGTAGAAAGCTCACTGAAGAGCTGAGGGACAGCACCCAGGCCCAGAGCTCAAGACCCATAATTGACAAAAAAAAGAAATGTATAGGAGGCTGGAAAATGGTTGAATAAAGAATCTGGTGCTAACAGAGTCCAGTGCCAGTGACGCCAAGGGGAGGCATTGGCCGGACCTGTTTCCGTGGCTCTGATTCCATTTACCCTGTCCTCTGCGCACTTCAATCCCATAGATTCTTACACAACTCAATTTTCTTCCAATAAACCTCTTTACTGTCTAGGCCAGACCCTGTACTTACAATTAAACTGCACCGAACTTCTGGAATTCTTTGAGTGAGCACACAATTAATTCTCATTAAATGCAATGTGTTTTCTCATTGGCACATTGAAGCAGATGAAAATTTCCAGAAGCCACTGTTAGCACGGGCAGCAGTCCTCCTCCCGCGAGCCTCCCCTTCCCCTCCACTTTACGCCACAGCCAGTCTCTGGGAAGCCTGTTTAGTCGTTTCCCTTAACATTTCTTGTTTAACGTATTGAACAAGCCAGGGTATTTTATATAGTTACATACCAGTGTGTTTTCTGATGATTAGCCAACGGAAGGATGAAACATGTTCTCAGAAAAGAGGTTTGAAGTGTAGAAAGCTAAAAAAATTACAATATGAAAGAATCACAAATATTAAACACGGCTTTTCTTTTTTGAACCCTAACAAAATAGGTCCTACTTTTCAAGTATTATTTCCCTGACTTTTTTTTTTTTAAATAAGAGTGAGAAATACTGCATGTTCTCAGTTATAGGTGGAAGCTTAAAAAAAAAATTGCTGATCTCCCAGAAAAAAAAACAATTACTAGAGGCCATGCAGTGGGGAGGAGGGGAAATAATGGGTACCAAGACAGTGAGGCTGGAGGAATGAGCCTGTGTCACTCCACACAAGGAGAGTACAATGTAGGACATTTTATTATTTTATGAAGAACTAAAACAGTTGAAAGATTTCAAATACAGGGCTGGGAAGGTGGCTCAGTGGTAGAGCGCTTGCCTTGCATGCATAAGGCCCTGGGTTCGATTCCTCAGCACCACATAAGCAAAAAGAAAAAAAGCCAGAAGTGGCGCTGTGGCTCAAGTGGTAGAGCGCTAGCCTTGAACTGAAGAGTTGAGGGACAGCACCCAGGCCCACAGTGCAGGCCCCACGACCAGACCCAAAAAATAAAAAATAAAAAATAAAAAAATAAAATAAATAAAAAAGAAATATTTCAAATACAAAGAAATGGCCTATATTTAGAAGATGGAAACGCTAATTAACCGTGATTCAGTCATTACCCAGCACACAAATGTACTGTCACAATGTACCCATCAGCACACACAATTAAAAATCAATTTAAATTATTATTAATAAACAAGACTTCCTTGTTTCAGTAACTATAGGATATTTTTTAAATAACGTGATTAGTTGTGCTTACCTGTTCATCCAGTTATATACTATCCTTAGATAGTTGTCCTAAGAAAAGTCACTATGATAAAAGAATGTTTTCCAGTTGGGCACCAGTGGCTAGCTACTCAGATGAGGATCACGGTTCAAAGCCAGCCCAGGCAGGAAAGTCTGTGAGACTCTTATCTCTAACAAACCACCAGAAAACCGGAAGTGGCGCTGTGGCTCAAGTGGTAGAGCGCTTGCCTTGAGCTAAAGAGCTGAGGGACAGCGCCCAGGACCAGAGTTCAATGTTCATAACCAACAACAACAACAAAAGTTTTCCATGCTAATCACAATACAGAAAAATAAAGAATATCATCAAGCTTCTAGCCTGGTCTGAGGACAGGAGGAGTCAGACCTGGGAAACAAACTGAGGACATTAGCACAAAAATGATTTCTGACTAACTTTCCATTGACAATATGCATTTTGTCCAAGGAAACCATCAGTTCCTAAAGAAAAAGGTAGACAGATGGACATGCCAGGAAGAGAAGCTGCGCACGCACCAGCCTTCCTCCGAAAATAAACAATCCAGCAAGTCATTCTTCCTGCCTTTCCTGGGAGCCAGAAGGAATAGGCATCATGATCTCTGAGCACTAAAATACACAGGTAACCCAGATTAACCCAGCCTCAATAGCACAGTTAGATCACTAGAAGACATTGTACCTTCACATCCAAAACATAACCGAGTCTACAGACAGTCCACTGCTTCAGAACCGCAACAGATTCCTCCCTCATCAGCTTCACTGGGGTAAATTCTTTTCTACAAAAGGAGGTAATGACTTTTGCCTTGAGTCCCCCAAATTAACCCTGAAATTACGTTCTTAAATGACTGCCAAATAAACTAATCTGGGCCTCTTTTCCTTCACATCTACATTACAATGGGACCTGTAGCCTTCTCATTATTAGATAGATGGTGTAGTTTTCTGTTTATTTCAAGGTGATTCAAGATAGGAGATATTCCACTATAACCGAAGTGCGCCAAGAGAGAATTGGTTGTTTTTTGTTGTTGTTGTTGAATTTGGTGCTCTAAACTGCAAGAGTTCGCACATTGTGGGCACGTTACACTTAATTACTGAATAAATAGACATTAAAGATCTGTGATACTGAATGTCCACAACCTATCAGGCAATTATGGGCAAATAACACTAAGTACTTATATCCGTGTGACATCTGGTTTTTCCAACACTCACTTCCAGTGATCCTGTGAGACAGATGGGAAAGGTGGTATTTTCTTTTTCACATAGGGAAATTAGAGGTCAGAATGGTTGAGCAGCTTGCTGTTCTCATGTTTAGTGTTGGAGCTTCAGTGTAATGTGGCACCTCTTGCAAAGAGGTGAATGTTTTATCAATCACCTCTATTTTTACTATTATAATTTCCGCTGGTGAACAAGATGAATAATGTGAGCATTTTAGATGGATGCCTTATGAACTTTAAAACAAATATCCAAAAATACCTTTGACTCATCTGTTTCAGGATAATCCATGGGCCATATAGGTATCAGGTTAATATACAGATTGTTGAGCCCAATTACAAAATTATTCACCAGATCAGACACTGGTAGCTCATGCCTGTAATGCTAGCTACTCAGGAGGCTGAAATCTATCATAATTTGAAGCCAGATGGGGTAAGAAAAATCTGTTAAACTCTGATCTTCAATTTCTAAAAAAAAAAAAACTGAAACAAGTTGTAGCTGAAGTGGTAGAGTGTAAGCCCCAAGTTCGAGTGCTAGAACTATCACGAAAGGATTTTTTAAAAAAGAAAAAAACTCTACTCATCAACCAGGCACCACGTTTAGAACCACAGCTTTTTTTTTTGTCTGTCATAGGGCTTAAACTCTGGGCCTGGGCGCTGTTCCTCAGCTCTTCAGCTCAAGGCCAGGGGCTCTATTGCTTGAACCATAGCACCACTTCTAGTTTTCTAGTGGCTTATTGGAGATCAGTCTCATGGACTTTCCTAGCTGGGCTGGCTTTGAACCATGATCCTCAGATCTCGGCTTCCTGAGTAGTTAGGATTACAGGTGTGAACCGGCACCTGGCTCCCATAGCCTTTTTTTTTTTTTTTTTTTGGGGGGGGGGGGTCCAGTTGTGGGGCCTGAACTCTGGGCCTGGGCGCTGTCCCTCAGCTCTTCAGCTCAAGGCTAGGGCTCTACCACTTGAGCCACAGCGCCACTTCTGGCTTTTTTCTTTTTGCTTATGTGGTGCTGAGGAATCGAATCCAGGGCCTCAGGCATGCAAGGCAAGCGCTCTACTACTGAGCCACCTTCCCAGGCCCACACAGCCTTTTTAATAGGCATCTTAAACTGTAGACTAAGCTCAAGATCCTCTAGATTTAGTTATCTTTCCCTATCATTACATTTTACAGGACAAACTTATTTTTAAAAAAAAAACTTTTGTCAGTTTTATAAGCTACATATTCCTCAGAACATTTTTGCTGTGTTTCTTTCAGCTGTTCACTTGTATCTATCTACCATCTACCACTTCAGCCACACTGTCAGACCTTGTTATTTTCAAGGTAAGGTCTTGCTTTATGCCCGAGCTGGCCTAGACAGTGATCCCCCGATTTTTATGTCCCCTACAACTTGGGTAAAAGGCATATGCCACCACACTCAGCCATTGACTTGAGATGGAGTCTCTTCAACTTTCCCCGGCTACCCTCAAACTCTGGTGCCCTGACCTCTGCCTCCCAAGTAGCTAGGATTGAATTACAGGTTACTTTTCACTATACTTTTTAACTTCCTGTCCTGATCCTTTTACAAATTGTCCTGTGTTTGTGTGTGTGTGTGAGATACATATGTATATATATATAGGGATTTGAACTCAAGACCCTGTGCTTATTAGGCAGGTGCTCTATCAATTAAGCAACACCCTCCACCCTTTTTGCATCTAGTTAATTTTTCTGACAGGGTCTCATATTTTTGCTTGGAGCCAGCCTGGACCATGATCCTTTACTTCAACCCCTTCACAGCTCAGATGACAGGCACATCCCACGCTGGCCCAGCTTATTGTGAAGACGGTTTCTTGTTAAGCCTTTGCCCAGGTAGACCTCAAACCTCAATCCTGTCTACTTTCCTGATCTCAGCCCCCTGAGTAGCTAAGATTACAAGTGGGAGCCACTGTACCCAGTTTTATCTATTCTCAGAGACAGTTCAAAGGCATCTCATGATGAAACCCTCAATGACTCTTCCTTGAAGGCCTTGGTTGCTGTCAGTGTTAACTGTGCTGCATGACACAAAGACATGGGAAGGCTGTTGCATGGGGAGAAAAAAAGAGATGTAGTACATGGAATCTAAATAATTTAATAGATTTAATAAGCATATTAACATTTAAAGTTCATTTCTTCCAAAAACAACATTTTAATTACATTCAAACTGTACTCATTTTAAATACCAACAAACTCATCATTTACATACAAGGCTAGATATTAGAAAACGTGAAAATTTAAACAAGCTGTATTTTTTTGAAGTCCTTCCAAATCTAAAACACTGAAAATTACTAAGTATATATCTTTAAAAAAAAAAAGTACACATTATCAGGAAAACATAAGCTGATCTAATAGGAAAAGAAATGTAATACATGTAAAATGGAACATAATTCATATAGGCTCAACTTACAGGTGTACTTCAAAGTATAAAAAGAACAAACCTAAGAGCTACTAATACAGCTAATACAAACAAAAATCACGGCTGACATTCTAATGCACCAATAATGCTTCTCAGAGAGAACTGATGGTCTCAAGATTTTTTGTTGACCAATGATTTTGCATTTCTTCTCAAATACAGAACCAGAGTACTTAGAATTTTATCTTTAAAGAAAATCCATTTTTTTCTTTATGACAACAACTCAAAGATACCATGAGAAGAAGTATCCAGTCTAGTGTATTCAGGTATTTTTTTTCCCACATACCCTATCCTTCTATTCCCCTTGAACAAGCCTCTAAGGGAACTGTACAAACCAAGCAACTCTGAGAGGACAAAGAAACCTGAGACTTGGCATTAGCATAGGTTGGAAATTTTTTAAATCCCCATTTATTAAGTAGTAAATGCAGAAAAGGTGGAAGCCATGTCTGAAACATAAGTTAGAAAAAAGAAATTAAACATTAAAGAAGACATTTAGAACTGTGGTCCTTGTGTGTTTTAGCTTCAAAGACATAAAGCAACCAAGCTACCAATAACTGCTGTGTATCTTTTAAAACTTGTAGAAATGTCTTTAAATCTTTAACAAGGTGCTATATAGCCAAAGATGTCAAAATTACTGTGCTCATGTGAGGGACATGTGAAAGCTGTTATGGGGGAGAAAGAGAGAGGGAGGAGGAAGGGAGAAGAGAGGAAGAGAGGGAAGGAGGGAGGAAGAAAAAAGAGGGAGGAATATGGGACTTCTCAGTTTAAAAGAGGCAGCTCTAGACTCAGCTAAGCACACCACCTCATTTATCAAGGCAGGAAGGAGTTCTGCCCTTCTTTAGATTTTACTGCGTTTTATCTAATCACACACAAAAAAGAGCATTCCTTCTTTTTTTATTTTTTTCCAATATGTCTCTGGCTTAAATGACAGAATGAGCAGTTCTTAACACACACTATTTATAAAGGCCATTTATAAAGTTAGTTGGCTGCTGGCATTTTTTTCTTGGTGGTGAATAAAGAACTGACTCTTCTACATGGTGCTCAGAAAAACCGATAGTCATGCCTGCTCTGCGTTACAAAGTGATCAGTGCGTTGTAAAGCAAAGTAAGTGCTGTTGTGTCAAGCCATGGAATTATTACTGCTGTGCTCCCTATGATCACTATAGTTCTCACACGTGAAGACGGCATCGGAAGCAGCACTGCGACCACACTCATCACACGTGCCGCACACCCCTCTCCGTTTGGGAAACTTGGTACATTTCGAGTTTCCTCTGGGCATGTTCTTCCACGGCAAAGCATTCTAGAACAGTAAAAGGGAAAAACAAATACTCTAAGTGTCATGCTAATGACAACAAATACTGCTAGCACCCAAAGTCAAATAGGCATAACCTGCATTGTCAGTCACTTGTGGGTTTTTCTCCCAAAGGAAGGCGTTCCCATAACTGGAGCAACTGTTCACCAACCTGTGGTTCTAGCTCCTGGATAAATCAAAAGTCAAAATAAACATACAAAGAACTAAACTGAAAAATTACCAAAAACTACACTGATAAAAATGCAAAAAAATAATTCCATTCTTTTTTTTTTTTTTTTAACCAGACCATGCTCAAACCAAATGTTTAAATTGTGCGAATCTCTGCTTTAAGGTATACAAGTTGACTTTCAGATTTAAGATGAGTGAATTTACAAATGTCTCTACTTTCACGACAAAATGCCAACTGGCTTCCACGAGTCCTGGAATTCTATGTAGAAATAATACATTTTTAATGGTGATTTAGCAAAAGCACTCAAACTTGATAGTCTTTTTTTAGGAATTGTCTATTTCAAAATCAGCATTATAAAATAAAAATATTATTATACAGGTAAAAAGAATGCCACTGTTTTACAGTCTACATGTGTATGTTTATCACCATGAGCATTTAAAAATAACTTTTTTGGGGGGGGGGGGGGGGTCAGTCGTGGGGCTTGAACTCTGGACCTGGGTGCTGAACCTCAGCTCTTAGCTCAAGGTGAGCACTCTGCCGCTTGAGCCACAGCACCACTTCCGGTTTTCTAAGTGGTTTACTGGAGATAAGAGTCTCATTGACTTTCCTTGCCTGGGCTGGTTTGAACCATGATCCTCAGATCTCAACCTCCTGAGTAGCTAGGATTACAGGTGTGAGCCACCGGCGCCCTGCTTTAAAAATAACTTACACTTCCCATGAGGATGTAAAGCGAGCCACACTGATCCAAACATGTGACTCACTGTCATTTGGCCTCAGTCTATATTCTCTTAACATCAAATGGAGTAATAACTCATTTTATTAAAAATATGAAATAGTTATTTACTTTACCTAATTAGTTTAAGCCACAAAGACATTAAATAAATAAGTACGCAGACTGCAGACTTTCTCCTGGACGTGCTGAACAGCAGTAAACGCTGTCAACGCCAGCACAGTACCTGCCCATCCCGGCTTATCTGCACCTTCTTGTTGTCATTCCACGGGTTGAGCAGGTGGTGTGCACACTGGAAGGGAAGGCTCTCTTTTCGTATCCACTCCACCTTAAAGACCCCGCCCAGGCCCGCTGAGCCCCAGTCTTGGCTCTTCTCCCTTCCTATCTCAGAAGACATACGGGAAAACCCCTGTAGGTAAAAGAAGGGGAAGAGATGGAGGGAAAGTTGTTAAAACATCTGAACTTACTTTGTCTGATAAAGCTGAGGGTTTTTTTTTACACTTTTAAAGTAAAACTATAAAAGATACTTAACAAAAAAAATCAAATATAAAGCTTACTAGGTTTATTATCAAATTTTAGAAGAAAACACAATTTTAATCCAACACTTCAAATGTTAACAGTTTCTAAATAATGTGTTTTTTACGTCTACATTTATTTCATGACAATGAAGAGAACTGAGCTAAGGTTTTATTTCTGTAATAAATTCCATGTTTTGTAAATTCAGATAAGCATGAAGGCAAGCAAAGTTAAAAAACGTATGTTGTCAATGCTAACTTTCTTGGCCTACTTAAATAAACATTCAACTGAGTCAATCTCTCCATAGTGTTAAGTGCATCTGAGAACCAGTAAATCTACGGTTATGTTCAGAGGAAAATATTTATGTGTGAAGGCTCTGGTGTTAAGACAAAGCAAAATTAAAGAGGTCCCAGTTCTATCACCCCTAGAAGAGATGTTAAATACCCTTCATTCCAAGTCAAGCAAGAGGCACCATTCCACTCCAATGCAGTACAAAGCTGGTTTTCTTTTGCTGTTTTTACCTGTACAGTGTGACCCACAACCAGAACAAGTCCATTTTACTGTTTTAGGACAGCTCACCTGGAAATGTCCAGATCCTTGAACAGAAAATACCAAGTAAACCATGCTGCTCTCCCAAAAGGCCCGATTTAGCTTCCGCTCATTACTAGGGGTTGTAGACCAGATGCCCTTCTGTTGAGAAATTTCAAGGTTTCTCAGATTGCTACTCTTCATTATGAAGTACCGAACAGGCATGTTTGGTCTTGGTGAAGGAGATTTTGAGCCCTATAAAACAATGTGTAAGTTCTCCGAGGGTAATGTGACCTTTCAAGATCAGCAAACATCATTTCCATAAATACATAAGCCAAAAATATTTTATCAAATAGTCAACAAATGCAAACAGCTCATGATGCTTGAAAACTTTTAACGCCTTGTTGCCGGGTGCCGGTGGCTCACACGGTTCAAAGCTAGGCCGAGCAGGAAAGACCGTGAGACTCCTATCTCCAATAAACCACCAGAAAACTGGAAATGGCGCTATTGCTCAGTGGTAGAGCACTCGCCTTGAGCTGTAGAGCTGAGGGACAGTGCCGAGGCCCAGAGTTCAAGACCCACAACTGACCAAAAAAAAAAAAAAAAAGCCTTGTTAAAAGGATCCAGACTTTAAGACTCCAAATGGATTTTCACAAAATGTTTTTAAAACCTTGAAATTCAGAGAACAAATTTAAACTCCTATGTGCACTATGAGGAGGAAGTCTTCGTGACAAGCCTAGCAGTCTTGGAGTTCCAAAACAGAGAAGGGTTTAGAGACTGCAGGGATTCCAATCTGCGTGGTAAGTACTGCAAAAGCTCAAGTAGTTGAGTGCCAGTTGTGAGCCAATCAAGAAAAGAGAGAGCCAGGCCTCAGAATTCAAGCCCTGACACTGGCAACCAACAAACAAACAACAACAAATTAGAATGCTAATTCAGCAAAGACTATGGCTGGAGTGTGAAATTAGCACAGAAAAGATGCAGAGCAGGGAGAATAACTGCAAATTCACATAACAGCCACCACCAATCCACTCACTAGAAATTACAAAATCATCTCGCATTTTGAATTACAAAGACATTACAATGATAAATAATGCCAAGTGCCAAAAATACACACCAAATGAAACTCTTAAGGGTTTGTTAAAGAAAATGCAAAATAGCACAGCCATTTTAGAAAAGAGTTGAAGAGTTTCTTGTAAAGTTAAACATATTACTATGTAAAACAGTATATGGTAAAAATGTCTGCTGAATATCACCCATCCAAATACCTATTCAGGTGTGGAAACTAAAAGTAAATGCTTCTGAACAAACGAAATAATTCCTATTACACATTTTAAAAATGACAGTTTCCAGTTCCATATCACTATCTATCTTTTGCCTTCCTACCTTCTGTATTTAACAATTTATTTAGTATATTTTAACATAATTATTGAATTAACAAGCAAAAGAAATACATGCTTCTGATTTTGAAATTATATACCAAAATTTAAATAGCTTTGTTCTTTTTTTTTTTTTAGTTGGTTGTGGGGCTTGAACTCTGGGCTTGGGCGCTGTCCCTGCGCTCTTCAGCTCAAGGCAAGCACTCTACTGCTTGAGCTACAGCGCCACTTCCTAGCTTTGTTCTTTCAACCAAAAGGTTTTAAAGAAATAAAAATGAACAGCCCAGCTATATACAACTAGTTAATAATTTCTTAAAATATCCTAAAATAATAGTATTTAGTAAGAACATAGAAGTAGTAGAACAGAATAATAGAAGTACAGAATAGAATAATAGAAGTATTTTATAAGCAGAAAGAAAACTAAAAAAAAAAATGTATTCCAAGCACTGCAGTTTGTTTTCCAGGAGTCACTCAATTTAAACCTGCAAGGCACCCCGCACCCCTAACTGGAAAAAGGCAAGCTTTTTTTTTTTTTCCCAGGGCTGAGGACCGAATGAACCTAGGGCCTTGTGCGCGCCGGGCAGGTGCCCTTCCGCTGGGCTAAACCCCCAGCCCAAAGGGAAGCTTTTATTATCTTATTTAAATGTGTAACACTGGAGGCGTTACAAACCTGATGCTTCCTGTGCCTACTTCTGCTACTTACCTTTCCTGAAGATGGTGGGGAAGGACTTGCACAAGGACTTGGGTAGGTGCTGCTGTCCGCAGACTTCACAGAGCACTGGTCTGATCGGTCCTCAGTGCTCCGCTTTGGATGTAAAATTCCTCTGTCTTTGTACTTCTGAGGAGGGTGTAAGGCTGGAGATGGAGATTTCGTCAGTACTCTAGAACAAGGCAGAATGGTCAGAGATGAGTAATACACAAGTTAATGACACAATAGCTCCAATACCTGGGGAAGATGGTGGGAAATTCACTTTAAACGGTGGTAAGTAATTCTCAATGTAGGGCATCCAGGAAACATGTATCAATACCTAACATGTATCAACAAAACACACTTTCAACATGATGCTTTCAGAAGTGGAGGTGTGGCTCAAGTGGTAGAATATTAGCCTTGAGTGAAAAAGCCAAGCCAGAGTGTGAGGCCCTGAGCTCAAGCTCCAGGACTGGCACAAAATAAATAAAATAAAATGTTACTTTCTTTCTAAGATACCTTCAATTTGTGAATTCTGGAAAGGAACATTTTTGAGTTTTCTTTTCATAGAATGATCTTTAATATTAAATGTCTCATAAATACTTTAAAAATCCCTTACATAACCCTAATACTAGTAAGACCTAACTAAAACTTTTCATTTTATTATAAACTTTCTTCTTTGTCCTGAATTGTAAAAAAAAACTATTGCCAGGTGCCAGTGGCTCACGCCTATAATCCCAGCTACTCAGAAGGCTGAGATCTGAAGATCGCGATTCAAAGCCAGCCCAAGCAAGAAAGTCCATGAGACTCTTATCTCCAATAAACCACCAGAAAACTGAAAGTGGCACTGTGGCTCAAGTGGTAGAGCGCTTGCCTTGAGCTGAAGAGTTCAGTTAGGGGCAGTGCCCAGGCCCTGAATTCAAGACCAACCAAAATTAAAAAAAAAAAAAAAAGTAATTCTTAAATAATACAAATAATTAACTTCTTGGAGAAATCACCTTCCATTTAGATAGAACCTTTCTAAAATCATAATTTACCTTTCTGCAGTAGTAGACTCATCAGGAAATTCAGTGTCTGCTGAACTTTTCCTACTATTATTTGACCTCCAAGAGGATGCCAAAGGAAGTTCTTCTGAAGACATAGGTCTTGGCCTCTGGCCAATCCCAGATGGTTGCTGTAAACCTGCAGATTGCTCCTCCGTACTTAACACAGCTATAATTGCTCGTATGGTGGCTTCATCCACTTGAGACCAGGGTTTAGATGGAGCTCTCATTCGGCGTAAAAACAGACTGTGCCACTTCTGTCTGAGCTGCAGCAATAAACTGGCGGCCTGTAATACAGTTCAAACAGGTGCAAGCAAATGTATGTAAGACACTCTTTCATTACTTAAGGTCTGCAGCTGTTACTACTTCCATTCATTTATGTCATGAGTGAAATGAAATTTCTCATTTACCATTTTCCTAGGACTAGAGAGTGTTCGGGGGGGGGAGAGCAAACACTGGGTACGTAAAGACTAATAATGAAACACAATAACACAGTAGATAGAGAAAAAGACATTGGTGCTACTGAGACATTACTGCTGTGTCTGCAGAACATCCAGATGATGCTGTTCAGAAGGCAACAGCACTCCCAGAGCACCCATGGTGACTAAGCCTACATGCAGAGGCATGGCTCCCTGGGACGAGCAGAGCCAATGAGAAGAAAACAGCCAAGCACAGAGAACCAGGGAACTTAGCATCAGGAACAGAGAAACATCCTAGAAGGAATGACTACAAAGGGAGAATTAAAAGGGATTAATGTCCCAGTAATTTAAAGACAATGAAGCTGGGGTGGGAAATGAGGGAGAGCAGGATTACGAAAAGGAGGTTATGAGCAACAGTGCCAATGACCAAACTGACTTAGAGAACACAGATGGACTCGGCAAGGAGAGTTTCGGTGTAGCAAAGGGCTGGGAATGAGAATGAGACTGCAGCAGGTTGTGATGATCAATGAATGGATGTTTGAGAGACGTAAAGCTAGCAATTGTCAACTACTGGCAGCTTAGTTGTCCCCTCCTCATCAAACATGGATATAATAAACATTAAAAACAGAGTCATGAAAATTTTTAACTTAAAAAGAATTTAAACTGTTAAAAGTTTACTCCAAGCCAGGCACTGGAGCCTCACACCTGTAACTCTACCTACTCGGGATGCTATGATTATGGTTCAAAGCTAGTCCAGGCCAAAAAAGTCCACGAAAGGCTTATCTCCAACTAAACAGCAAAAAGCCAGGAGCACAGGTGTGGTAGAGTGCCAGACCTGAGTGAAAAAGCCAAGTAAAAGGGAAAGGCCCTGAGTACAAAGCCTAACTCTAGCACGTGTGCACACACGCACAGACACACACACAATTTACTCTCAATTCAGAGATAGATGGAAACAAAAACCAGAAAAGAACACTTGTATTTCACTCAGGAACGGTTACACAAAATAAAGGATCCATGTCTCCAATACTAATTTTTTAATATGCAGAAATACTCAAATATTACTACTATGGTTTGAATGCATTTGTTCCCTCTAATAATTCATGTTGAAACTTAATGTAGGATGTAGAATCACTAAAAAGCTGGAAGTAAAGCTGGCTCAAGTGGTAGAATTGCCAACCATGAGCAAAAACCTTCAGGCTCTGAGTTCAAGCCCCAGGAGCAGAACAAAACTAAAAAATAAACACCTGGTGGAGGGAGTTCATCCCTTCTGCACTTCTGCCTTCTGAGAGCACATCAGTCTTCCCCTACAGTCTTCCTACAGTCCCCTACAGTCTTCCCCTTCCTTGATCTTGGAACTCTTATCCTCTAGAACCTTGAGACGCACATATATTCTATAATTATTCAGTCTATAGTAGTTGTAGCAGCATGAATGGAGTAAGAAAACGAGCTATATGCATCAATACTGATCCACATCTCAGTTTTTCCAAGTCTTCTATTGGGGATAAAAAAAAATATGGAAGACAACACAAGAAGGCTCTGTATTCTCTAATACTCAGGGCTTAGTATTAAAGAAAAAAATTTATCAGACTGTATCAATTCATAGCAACTTAATGAAAGAAATTGGTTACCAATAGGTTAAAAAAAAAAACGTACCTCTGGCTCTAGTTTAAAATTGAGCCACTCATCAAGTTTCAATGCAGCCAAGTTAGCAGTAGTTCTGTCCTCCACTTCACTGTCACTACTGTCATTGGGAACGCCATCTGCTGTCCAAACACATGGAAACAGCAAGCCACTGTTACTATTGTACGTATTGTAAAACAATAAGCAGAATACTCTTTATGTTCACAATTAATTCTTCCCAAAATTCTAGCAACTTACATGGGAGGTTTTCTTAATCCAACACCTCATAAACTAAATATCAGTATTTAAAGAGAAAAATAAGACACACTCAAGACTACAACCTTTAATCACAATGCAATACAACAAAAGAAAAATGCCAAGAACTTGAAAACTGAAGTACAATCCTCATTAGCTGAACAAAGAAGCTCCAGGACTGTTACCAAAAGGAAAACAACAAAAACTCATAGCCCAAGGAAAATATTACGCAAATCAGAGCAGGAGACACAGGCGAGACCAGTGTATCAACACCCCACTCTCTCGAGCTGCCTACCACCACCCTCCCACTCCTCCCACGCCCTCGGCCCATCACCCCACTGAAACACCCTTCGTTCGGGCCATCCAGCCATGACTGCCTTCAGTCTAGAAATTTTCCAGGCCTTCAAAGTTACAGAAGAGATGACCACCCCAACACCAGGGCACTTTCTTCCTGTCCTCTAATTTACACATTGTCTTGAGGAGCTCCACTCGTGTCTTTAAATATTATTTACAAGCTGAAGGCCCCCAAATTTGTATGGTCCAGGCCTCTTCTGTGAACTCCTACGGCTTTCAGATCTGCATCTGCAGCTGCTTTCTAAAACAAACTTCAGGGGCTGGGAAGGTGGCTCAGTGGTAGAGCACTTGCCTTGCATGCCTGAGGCCCTGGGTTCGATTCCTCAGCACCACATAAGCAGAAAAAAAAAGCCAGAAGTGGCACCGTGGGCTCAAGTGGTAGAGCGCTAGCCTTGAGCTGAAGAGCTGAGGGACAGCGCCCAGGCCCAGAGTTCAGGCCCCATGACCGGACCCCAAAAAAATAAATAAAAAATAAAACAAACTTCACTTAGGATGTCTAAGGCAGCTCGGACTTTGCCTGCACAGACCCTGACGTTCCTCTTACACAAGTTACCCTTGCCTCCCCCTTTTCCTTACCACCCAGATCCAGTCTAGCAGATTCTAGTGCCTCCCATGCAATTCTGAATCTACTTCTCTTCACATTAGCTATCATCTTTCCTAAGTATTTGCTTCTTTCTTGTCCCTTAAGAAATCTATTCACTCAGCCAAAAAAGATCTTCTTAAAGAAGCCAGCCTGGGCAGGAAAGTCCAAGAAAGTCCATGATACTCTTATCTCCAATAAACACTAGAAGACCAGAAGTGGCGCTGTGGGCTTAAGCAGTAGAGTGCTCACCTTGAGCTGAAGAGCCCAAGGACAGTGCCCAAGCCCGGAGTTGAAGCCCCACAACCGACCCAAAAAAAAAAAAGAAACACGGTATCTATCATGACCTTGCTCCTTTACTTAAAATCCTTTAAGGGCTAATTCTGCACTATGGTCTACAAATCTATGCCTTCCTTTCCTTTTTTTTTTTTTTTTTTTAGCTTTGGGCCTGCGTGCTCAAGGCTAGAACTCTACCACTTGAGCCACAGCGCCACCTCTGGTTTTCTGGTGGTTAACGGAGATAAGAACCTCATGGACTTTCCTGCCTAGGCTGGCTCTGAACCAGAACCCTCAGATCTCAGCCTCCTGAGTAACTGGGATTACAGGCGTGAGCCACCCGTGCCCGGCTTATGTCTTCCTACCACTAATCATGTGCCCCAGTCACCTGGCCTTTCTGCTAGCTCCAAGATCATTCACTTCCTAGGGTAGACTCCCGGAGCTTGCTCCCTTCTCTCTGGAGAACATTTCTGCCTAATGATAGGGCTGGCTTCTCCTACTCTGAGTCTCATCTCCTTACAGTAACTTGTCTAGGCCTTCTTTCTAAAGTAGGTTACCTCTACAGTAGTCCTCTTTTCATTTTCTTGAAAGTCTGTCTACTTATTCATTGCCTACTGCCTCAACTGCAAAGTTCAGATGCCAAAATATCTTCTTTTCTGTTACACCTTCAATATTTAGCCCAATAGCTGATATTTACTGAATCTCTGAATAGCAAAGTGTGAAATCATCAAAATACCCAGCTATAAAGGAATGCTTAAAGTTTGCCAAACAATAACATTTTATATGTAAGTTCATAATTATGCTGAATGTGAGAATCTTATGGAGCCATTAGTGTGAAGTAATACTCTGATACAAGAACAAAGAATATAAAACAATGAGAAAATAAGTTAAAATATGGAATCAAGTACAGAAAAGTTTTTTAAAGTGTTTTCATTACCATTTATATTTAAGAAGGAAAAAAACTTCCCATCAGTAAGAGTAGTCAAAAATGCAAAACACTGATGTTATGTTATCTAAGAAATTAACCTCATAATTCCAAGAACAGTATACCTTAATAATCTATTTTAAAACTAAGCTACTAACTACAAATTATTGTAATTTCACCTTTTTTTGTTGTTGTTTAGCTGACTTACAATGGATTTTATGTCCTTCCTAACAAATTTACCTCTAAAGGATGAAGGTTCCTGAAGAGCATTGCTTGCTAGTCGAGCTGGTCCACAGAACACCAATACAGTGACAGGTGTCACTGCTGAACAACATCTAATATTAGCTATTCTATGGGCTCTAGTCATCTCATCATAAATAAGCCAATCTGTGGGCAGTGCCTGGATTGCTGCAGCCTGACCATTGGCTGGAGGAATCTATTAGGAAAACAAATGAAAACATTGTTACTTGTATTTATTACCTAATATATTAGAAATACTTCGAAGTCTTTTTTTGTTGTTGTTCTTGGTCTTGGGGCTTGAACTCTGGGCCTGGGCACTGTCCCTCAGCTCTTCAGCTCAAGGTGAGCACTCTACCACTTGAGCTACAGTACCACTTCCGGTTTTCTGGTGGTTCATTGGAGATAAGGATCTCATGGACTATCCTGCCCCAGCTGGCTTTGAACCGTGATCCTCAGATCTCAGCCTCCTGAGTAGCTGGGATGACAGGCATGAGCCACCGGTGCCTGGCAAAGTCTCTTGATGTAACCAGTAGTACGTAATTAATTAGTACCCAAGCAAAAATTAAAGTTATTACTATTATAATTTTACCTCTTCTAACATTTTAAGATTTAACAAAAGTTTTGTTTCAATGTTTTATTACATGTACAGAACTAATCAATCTCTTGAAGCAGACAGATATTTGGGAGTATTTTTTTGTTGTTGATCTTCAACTACCTAAACTGACTTCATGTCAAGGCATTGAAAATGTTTTACCTTTTTATATTGAGGCTGACTGAGAACTGAGGTGGGATGAAATCGTACTTTTTTCTCCTTTGGCCCTGTCAGTACTACATTCTCTCTGTCCACATGGACTAAATTAGGATACATGCCTGCCACCAATGCAGCCTTAACGACAGCCCAGTTCTCGGAGTTTGTGTTAACATCTCGGATGTCACCACCACCTCGCGCTCTAACAAAACCTAGAGACCCAAAAAACAAAACAAAAACAGTGTGTGATTTCCATGAAACCAAGTATAATTCACACAGGTTTAATGATACTCAAATCCTATATTTCACAGATTCTGTTCTATACAGTCTAAAATACAGATGATAGGAAACTTGAGAGCTACATCTGCTCAAACTTAGATTAAGTACCCTATTTATCAGTGGTTTAAGAACCTTTTCAAAATGTGTATTTTTTTGACACAGGATCTCACTTTGCAGTTAAGACTGGTATTGAACTCATGGCTCTCCTAGCTCAGCCTCCTGGACACTAGGACCACAGGTATACACCACCACACCCAGCTCTAAGTGCACATTATTGCAATAAAGTGCTCTGTCAGCTGCTATCAGAAGTATACTAAGATCACAGCAAGAAACCCAACACTCCTTCTGAATGGTGTTAATGTTTTATAAAACATTACTTATGGAAAACAAACATATGCTTGCTCAAATTTCAATAAATTTTCATATTTCCCAACATCTGAGACAACTCTAAATCCTCTGGTCCTTTTCTTCTCTTACTTTTATAGTTCAGCTAATACATGAATCCAGGCTCTAGTGTTTTTCTTTTGACTAGCACTTCAATGTACTATGTTACTAGGGGGGAAAAGAAATCAAAGACGTGATTCTAGAAGGAAACAATAACATTAAAATCCCCTTGTAGAAAAGAATCAACAACCTTCAAATAACTTATATTTGTTTCAGAATTCAAAACATACTTTAAGGAACACCACTCCTATCAATCTACTTAAAATTGTACACTGTTCCTTTCAGAATTAAAAATAACAATTAGCCTGCGGGGTGTCGAGTGGCTCATGCCTTTAATCCTAACTACTGAGAAGGATGAGATCTGAGGATCATGGTTCAAAGCCAGCCTGGGCAGGAAAGTCCATGAGACTCTTATCTCCAATGAACCACCAGAAAACCGGAAGTGGGGCTGTGGCTCAAGTGGTGGAGCACTCACCTGGAGCTGAAGAGATCAGGAACAGAGCCCAGGACCAAAGTTCAAGCCCCACGACCGAAAAACCAAACCAAACCAAACCAAACCAACCAAACAACAACAACAGAAAACCATTAATCGAAAAAAGAATATAAAGTAATCATTACCAACAACTACAGTGTAAATTGCTGAGTATCAAAAAATATAGATTCTATTCACACATTTCTCTATTACATCTTCTGCGATATCTTTTTCATCAACAAGTGAATGTTGAGGTCACATGGATGTCTATAAATCAGCTCATAAACAGTATTATAAAGTAACAGAGGCTGGCATCAGTTGACACTACAAATGTCATATGATAAGGAACAAGCTGGGTACTGTAGTTAACACAGACTCCTTGGGAAGGATCTGTACCTGATGCTCTAAGCTGACCGAGCAGCTGTGTTCTCATTCCTATAATTATTTCCATGGTGGCTTGTGAAAGAAAGTTCTTTTCACAGAAGGCTCGCTCCCATCCATCACTCCGTGCTTTCTGCCATGCCTACAAAAACAGAACAATGACACACCAATCACTTGCTGATCAATAAACAAGCTAAAAACATTCCCCTCATCACTAAAAGTCAATTCTTATCCTAACTTTTTAACTAGTCTAAGACTTCATGATCAAACAGAATTTACCATTAGTTAATATATACTCAAATGTACTCAACTGCTAGTTCTGCAAAATCCCAATGAAAACTAAATGTCAGTAACCTAAAGGACCAGCTTTGTAAAGCAATACCTTCTCAGATCTTTTTTTTTTTTTCCTTCTCAGATCTTTAAGGTGATTCTATTGCACAAAAATGTGGGAAGTTTTCAACCCAATTAGTTACAGTGAGTCATCCACTACTCAATAGTACAGAACTCACAATTACTTTTTAACATTATATACATATTGGAAATATCCTATATATTTGAAGAGCACTTTTTCTATAAATGAAGAGAGAAAATTTAAAACTATAGGTCTATAAGACATTCAAGAGAGTTTAAGTATTAAGAAGCTGTCCAGTCAGGTGCCGGTGGCTCACACCTATAATCCTAGCTACTCAGGAGGCTGAGATCCGAGGATTGAGGTTCAAAGCCAGCCTGGGCAGAAAAGTCTGTAAGACTCTTCTCTCTCCAATAAAGTACTCAGAAAAAGCTGTAAGTGGTGCTGTGGCTCAAGTGGTAGAATGCTAGCCTTAAGTACAAAGAGGCTCAAGGACAATGCTCAGGCACTGAGCTCAAGCCCCTGGGCTGGCAAAAAAAAAATTCTTGGCATAGTGTCTTGAGTTTTCAAGAAAACAGTTTAAAAAAAAAAAAAAACAAGCCGGGCACAGTGGCTCATGCCTATAATCCTAGCTTCTCAGGTGGCTGAGATCTGAGGATCAAGGTTCAAAGCCAGCCCAAGCAGGAAAGTCTGAGACTCATCTCCAATAAACCACTAGAAAACCAGAAGTGGCGCTGTGGCTCAAGCAGTAGAGCACTTACCTTGAGCTGAAGAGCTGAGGGATAGCGCCCAAGCCCAGAGTTCAAGTCCCACGACTGACCAAAAAAACCCAATCAGAAAATTTGATTTCAAAGTCAAGCCACAGCTCTACTTCTGGCTTTTTGGTGGTAAATTAGAGGTAAGAGTCTCATGGACTTTCCTGTCTGGGCTGACTTTGAACCAGGATCCTCAGGTCTCAGCCTACTGAGTAGCTAGGATTACAGGTGTGAGCCACCAATGTCTGGCTCTTGTTTTGTTTTTTTGAGGTGGGTTTTCATTTTATATATCCCAAGCTGGACCTGAGCTCATGATTATTTAGGCTCAACCTTCAAATGCTGGGATTACAAGTAAGTCACATTGTACTCTATTAAAATTCAAGGTAATTCTTATTCAAGCTCTGTTCTGTATCTTTAATATACAAGGGGTCTAAATTAAAATTTTACAGCCTTCCTTGCCCAAGACATGATTCAAATATAAGGAATTCATTATCCAAAAAATAACTACAAGAATATAAGTAAATACAAGCACACACACACATATTCCTATAAGAAAAAAATGAGGGAAAAATACAATAGAAAAATATTGTGATAATTTTAACATACTAACAGCAAGCAGGTATTTTTTCTAGACTACTAATAAAATGTTACTTCATAAAGAAAGCAAACATAATGGAATTGCCATCATTATTTGTTTGCTTCTTATGGTTGACACTGCCTGAAAGAGTGGCCTAGAAGAGTGTTCACCAGCACCTGCAGGAGTGGATGAGCTCACCAGCACCTGCAGGAAGAGCAAGTGCGTTCCCCTGGCGCCTGCAGGAAGGAGAGGCAGTGAAGTACCTGGAATGCTCTGAGAAGAGCCATGTGGTCACTGAAGGTGCCCGCAGTGAAGCGCTTCCGGCAGAGCATGGCCGCTCGCTTTTGAGAGGCCTGCGTTGGCAGAACGAAAGGGTCCCGGTACGCTAGTGTGCAGGCAATTGTAAGGATGGGGTCCAGACACTTCAGAACAACAGCACATAGCACCATCTTGCCAAGATGGGGCTCTACTGGCAAGTCAGCCAAATGATACCCGAGTTCTGTCAGATCTTCCCAGGCGTCCATGGCATCTATTGTCTAACATGGAAGAGAGATTTTGACATGTCCAAAAGCTGCTTACTTAAAAAACAAAATCTGAGAAATACCGTTGCTACCACATCTCATAAAATATGGTAGCTACTTTAGCATTATACCTGCTACTTTACCTGCTATTAATTATAAAAATATGATTTTAAAGTACATGATCAACGAAGGAATTTTTTTTTAAGAAACAAAGACATAACTCTCATTTGGTTTAAATGTTCAGGTAAAACAGTGAGTCAGGTGAGCCAAGTGATGAGGATACCAACCTTAAGCATCTGTACTGCATTTCTTACAATTAAAGCTGGCGGAGGTTCGGGGGCTTTCATCAGGAAATCAGCAATGGTGCAATTCACTGGGGCTAACAGCTTGGTGTGTAAACAAAGCTCCTAAACATTAAAGCAGCAAAAAATTAAATTAAAATGACTGGAATGCTGTTATTTTTCAAGAAATCATGTGTTCCTAAACACTGACCAGTGTTCTTGGTTAGAGCACCAGCAGAGCCAACACTGTCTCTCGGTAAAACGTGGACTCATTCTTTGCCTTGGGTAATCATCTTCAGTCAGCTCATACCCAAATGACCACGGCCTCCTCTGGCCACCTCCTCATGCAGTCCTTGCACACAACCCCCCAGAGTCACTCCCCAAAGGCCATTCCCCCTTTCCCCTTTTCACTACCACATGCTCTAGAACCTTTTAACCAGCCGACTAATATGTAAGTGCTTTCTGGATGCAAGGCCCGAAGAAGCAAGTTGGAGAAAAGTAAGAGGACAAACGCCTGCCCTCATGGAGTTACTGTTTTAACATCAAAAACATACCTGAACAACTAATCATTTGCCAACCACAACTAGTTAAGTGCTGTAAGAGGGTACCAGGAACCAACCAGATAAAAGGAGACTTACCAAGCTCAGCAAAGAACAGAAAGGGAAGTCCATGATGTTTTAAGAGGTGAAGAATGAGTAGTTATCATAAAAGCAAGGGTAAGAAATACAGAGACAGATATACAAGATGTGCTCAAGAAACTAAAGCTACTCATTCTTATTTTTATGAGACAAGCAGGAAAGCAAGCAATAAAGCTGCACACATAGGAAAGAGCCGGTAATTTAGTCTTCTGTTGAGAATTTTCAGCTCCAACTCAGAAAAAAAATTTTTTTTAATCTCACAGAGGAAATGGGAAATCCTATCAGGTACCTGGATGCCAAAACCATGATTTTGTATCTCTTTATACATGTGGAAGCAAGCATCGAGACTAATACAGTAAAGAATTAAATTGATAAACTTTTGGTAGTCTTCCCTGGAAACAGTGGATGACTGTTAAACTTCAAGAAAAACAGTAAGGGCTAGACTGTGTTCCAGAACTTCTGAAATAATAGTGCTATTGTACAATTAGTTTTGCCACTGCTTCAGGTTTGGGAACTTAAATAATCTAATTTCTCCTTTGCTGAGCATTTTCAAGGTCAACACTGGCAGCTATGATTCTTAACATGCTACATTACAAAATAACACTAATAAGTATCCCATAACTTAAATGAACTCCAGTAACTTTAAAAATTTAAAGGTTATTAACTTTTCTTACATAGAATAAGAATTTTGTTTTGGCTATATCTACCTTCTATAATATTTACCATCTTGCCATTTCTGGAAGTCCACTTGGCAGCAGAAGATGAAATGTTCTTTCTCCTCCCTCACCCCAGCACCCCCAAAGACCCCCAAAGTCTTTCAGAATTAAGTAAGTTTCTACCTGTAATGGCATTCTCAAAAGTTCTGGAGTCTGAAATTCCAACATATTCTGAAATCGTAGTCTACTAAACAGACGGAAACAAATTCCAGGTCTACATCGCCCCGCTCTTAAAAATAAAATACAAAATTAAAACTCAAACAAAGTAGAAGGAATATAAATTAGAAAGGCAGTATCATTTAGGATGAATCAGGAGCAAGACATCTGAGTTAGATGCCTTGGCATCTCATTATTTAATTTACTGAGATTCATAAACACCACCTTCTTGATACACTTTCTAGGATTGTGGTAAAAAACAAAAGAAGTACCACACACTTGAATGCAACTCAAAATCCAAGTATGAATACCTGTTTGACAACTTAAATTCAGTCAGTTTTGCTAAGCTGTTGTCAGGCATCATGTTCTGGCACTGTGATGGAGTTGTGCAAATTACACAGAACTGCCATTTATCCCACCCCCACAGACCCATGTCATCTGGGAGGACCATGGATGTTGATGTTTCCCTGAGGTGGTGCCTCAGACTTCTGCTCTACCATTCCTCCAGGCATGTCTTTTCTCTCTGCCTTGCTTTGGTTTCCTTCTATCCTAGGTGGTCTTTTCCCAATTTCCCTGATTGCAGGCTAATGCTTTAGAAGCCTTAGACAGCAGCACTGGACACTCTCCAACCAACCCAAACTCAGGTAGAAGTTACTTCTTCCCAACATAAACACCTGCACTTTCCCCATCTCACAACAATGCCAACCACCCTCAATTGTCTGGCACAGACAGCTGTTTAACATCCTTGATTCTACTCTATTCTTTACCCGCCAGCCCTCAGACATACAACTGATCCCCGATATCACACCTTAATACTTATTATCATCCACTTTATTCCACCACTGCTATAACAATCCTTCATCTGTCCCTTTTATGAATGAAAGTAGTAATGTCTGTCTTTTAGGCCTAGCTTCCACATGTGAGTGAAAACATATAATAAGTTGTGATGGGGGACTAGCTTGTCTCACTCAATATATCCTCCAATTGCATCCATTTTCCTACAAATGATGTGATTTCCTTTATCCTTGTGGCTATGTAATATACCATAATGTGTGTCTGTATGTGTATATATGTCCACACATGTACACATACCCCACATCGTCTTTATCCATTCATCTGTTGTTGGCCTGATTTTAAATGTCAGGCTAGTGTGAGCAGAGCTGCCATAACCATAGATATTCAGGAATCTTCCTGGTAAATTACCTTACTCTCCTTTGGATATATGCCCAATAGTGGTGTAACAGGGTCACAGGGTAAGTCCACGTTTAGTTTTTTGTGGAACCTCTATATGGATCATAGTGGCTTCACCAGTTTACATTCCCACTGGCAGTGTATGGGGTTCCCTTTGCCCCATACCCTTGCCAGCATTTGTTGTTCCTTTTTTTAAATTTGATTTTTTTTTGAGTGGTTTTGATTTTCATTTCCTTTATGGCTAAAGGTGATAAACATCTGCTCATGTATCTATTAGCCATTTGATTTCTGCTTGTGAGAACTGCCTGTTTGGCTCACTTGCCCACTTATTAATGGCATTTGTTCGTTCTTTTGCTGTTTTATTTTTTGAGTTCTGTATATACTGATCTTTTATCTGCTGAACAGCTAGCTGGCAACACACTGGCTACTGAGATAGTACCTTGCTTCCCGCCTAGGCAGGCACTTAACTGTGAGCCTTCTGTTTCTCACTTCTTACCCCAGCTGAGTTCTACCTCACCCAACTTTGCCCCTGAGATGGGACTTTTCTGCCTTGGCTGGCCTTGAGCTGAAATCCTTCGGATCTCAGCCTCCTAAGTAGCTAGGATTACAGATGTGAGCCACTGGAACCTGGATCTTCATTTTATTTTAAAGTAGAAATCAGCCCACATCCTTTATTGCAAATGTTATAGAGTTTTTGCTTCTGTTTAAGTTTCTTGCCTCTTAGTGAAGGCTATATTACATATTTTCAAATCTGAACATGAACTTTTCTTTTGAAAAGACATTTTAAATGGCTTGCTTTACGGAGTGGACATAAAAATTAAGGCTAACGTGAAGCTAACCTTTTATAGGAGTCACATATGATATTTATGCCATACATATATAATGCTTCCGTTTTACAGGTGATTTGTGCGTGCACATGAGTCATGTACTTACCTGCCTTTCCGCTGAATAGCACTAGCTTTGGAAATCCACACCATTTTTAACATTGTTACAAAGTTCAATGCATCAAAGGATTTCTGCAATATTTAGATCATTTTTGTTAAAATACAAAGGTATTAAAGAAGAGCAAGACATTTTATCAACATTATTTACCATACTAAGTTTAAATACTAGCTTAATTTTTTAAAGAGGCTACTGATTTTTGAAAAACCCAGATTTTTCTGGTTATACATATTGCTTTTGTTCTTTGGGTTGGTCGTGGGTCTTGAACTCTGGGCCTGGGCACTGTCCCTCAGCTTTTCAGCTCAAGGCGAGCGCTCTACCACTTGAGCCACAGTGCCACTCCTGGTTTTCTAGTGTTTTATTGGAGATAAAGAGTCACACAGACTTTTCCTGCCTGGGCTGGTTTTGAGCTGCGATCCTCAGATCTCAGCATCCTGAGTAGCTAGGATGACAGGCCTGAGACACCGGTGCCTGGACTATATTGCTTTTTTGATGGGGTAAGAGTGGGGTTTGAACCCAGGCTTCATCCCAGGCAGGCAGTCTACCACTAAGCCAAGGCTCCAGCCTATTTTTGTACTGGCTACTTTTGAGATAGGGTCTGGCTTTTTGCCGAGGTACACGCCTGAACTACAATCCACCTATTTTAGGTTTCCCATCAGAAGCCTAAAATTTGTTTTTATTTTATTTATTTTTTGGGCCCGGTCATGGAGCCTGAACTCTGGGCCTGGGTGCTGTCCCTCAGCTCTTCAGCTCAAGGCTAGCGCTCTACCACTTGAGCTACAGTGCCACTTCCGGCTTTTTTTTTCTTTTTGCTTATGTGGTGCTGAGGAATCGAACCCAGGGCCTCATGTATGCAAGGCAAGTGCTCTACCACTGAGCCACCTTCCCAGCCCCAGAAGCCTAAAATTTGTTAGCCCTATATGTGAAGTAACTTTGACACTACTACATGTTTTTTTGGGTCCAGTAGTGGGGCCTGGGCCTAGGCACTGTCCCTCAGCTCTTCAGCTCAAGGCTAGCGCTCTACCACTTAAGCCCAGCGCCACTTCTGGCTTTTTTTCTTTTTGCTTATGTGGTGCTGAGGAATCAAACCCAGGGCCTCATGCATGCAAAAGGCAAGCGCTCTACCACTAAGCCACCTTCCCAGCCAGGACACTACTACATTTCTAAGCCATAATTTAATAAACAAAGGAATTAACTTCTAAAGTATTAAAACACACTTGTTTCAGCTTTTAATAATTTTTAGAGCAATAACACCTGAACTCTCAATGACTACTAATAGTATTCATTACTGTTCTATTACAGGAGAAACAAAAGTTATCCCTCCTTTACTATAATGAAACCTTTTTTTTTTTTTATTGTGAAAATACCGTACAGAGTGGTTACAATTACATGGGCAAGGATGCAAATTCTTTATTGTGATTACATAATTTCACATTATTGTGGGATAGTGATGCTTAAAGTCACAAACACATTCTAACTTTCATGGGGCAAATTGTCTATCGTGGTCTATAAAGTTTGAGTTCTATGAGCTTTGACAATAGTTATTTCTTCCACATTGGGTGGTATGTACATTGCTTTTGCATAGTCAACTGTTTCCTCTTTCCCACTTGTTCCCTCCCTCCCATCGCTGCCATTGAGTTGCTTAGTTCATTTTGGTCAATGTCCAGCGCAGCTGATGGGTCCCACTGTTGTATGTTTTTCCCTGATTCCCTCTAGTTCTGTGTCCTCCTCCTAGTTTCCCTCCAGTGTGCACATATTTACCATATATGTGATCAGCAGCAAGGGGTTATATAATCTTGTAATAAAACTTTATTGTCTCTAAGATATTCCCAATAATTACACTGACATTAATTTTTCACATTAAAATGACTTATATCCCTGAAACAACTTACATTCAATAACTTAAATACCATCTCCTCCCTTGAAAGCTCAGTTACCTCTATCAATTTTATTCTTTCAGTGAATGGATGGACCTCAAGCTAGGGATGTGTAGTTGCTAGCTATCCAAACATTGAAAGCAAATAAATATTTTAGGTTTTGAGAAGGTCCTTGTTGCAATTACCCAAAGGCTACTGTAGTGTCAAGGGAACAACACACAGGAGGTAAAAGAGTGGAGGCAACTTTATTTACAAACACAGATAGTAAGTCTGACTGAACTGCTATAGTTTGTTGAACTTTGGTTTATGTGGGTTGCTGTTGCTGTTATTTCCTTTCATCACTGTTTTTTGTTTTTGTTTTTTTCGGGGGGAGGGGGGGGGGTCTAGTCGTGGGGCCTGAACTCTGGGCCTGGGCACTGTCCCTCAGCTCTTCAGCTCAAGGCTAGCACTCTACCACTTGAGCCACAGCGCCACTTCCGGCTTTTTCCCCCTGCTTATATGGTGCTGAGGAATCGAACCCAGGGCCTCAAGCATGCAAGGCAAGCTCTCTACCACTGAGCCATGTTCCCAGCCCATCATCACTGTTCTAACTGAATATCCTTTCAACAACCTAACTGTGCACTAGGCAATGGAGATACAACAATGCCCATAGGTAAAAGGAAAACTAAAGGGATGGCATGTAAACGCTACATTCTTGACAAAATTTTCACTACAACTCCACAAACATTTCACTGACTTTCTAGTACTTAGTGAGAAGAAGTTAAAATGTATTTGTTGAAATAAATAGATCATATATACTGATTTAAGGTACAATATCCACTTTCGTTAAATCAATATTAACTACATTAAATTCATCCAGAAATAAAATTTTCCACTGAGGTCAATTCTGTATGAGTATTTGCTAAAACTCAAACTCCATCTTCTTCATTTAAGAAAAAGAACAACTTATCAAACCCACCTCTTTCACTTTGCCCGAATCAATGACGAAGACAACATCGTTGACAGTGATGCTGGTTTCAGCAATGTTGGTGGAAAGGATCTGTAATGGAACATTACTTTATGATTAATATGAAAATGGATTGTGACTAATAAAAATGGGAAAAACAAGGTTTTATGATGCTTACTATTTTTCGAACACCTGCAGGTGGGTTTTTTAATACCTTCTTTTGATCAGATGTTTGCATATTTGAATGAAGCATAAAGACTTGATATCTATTGACAATTGAAAGAGAAAATGTACTACAGTTCGAGTCTATTATTCGAAGCAACAAGTATAAAGCTTTAGATTTTACCTATGTGTATTGTCAGCAAACCGCTTGTCATCAAACAGGATGCGATCCCTGAGACCAACTATTTCATCATATCCAGGCAGAAAAATTAGGACCGCACCTTGGAGAATAATTTTTTTTAATATCAAATCTTGTGAAATTAACAGCAATCGAAACAACTAATTATATGGAATTACTTCATGTGTTTTCAAACACTGATCACCTGTCATAAATTACAATCCATGGACTTTTTTCAATGCAATTATACAAAGACTTGTACAATCCAACACTAATTTTCAATGAAAAAAACCCCCAATTAGATCCAGTTCTTGAAGACAGGACTTACCAGCATCACAACTATGACAGATATTGTATAGAAGATGCATGATCAAATCCAAGTCTACTTTCTCATCATCAAAACTGTGATGGTAAGCCTTCAGGAGCTCTCTGTCTTCTGCACTGAGGTCATTTCCATTTGTTTGGACCAGAGAACTTTCATCTAGATTGCCAAACTCCAATGAAGCACTTAAAAAAAGAGAGAGAGAGAGACATCAGTGTTTTTCTTCTTTACCAGTTCTGAGGCTTGAACTCAGGGCCCTGGCCCTGAGCCTATTTGTACTCAAAGCTAGCACTCTACCTTGAGCCACTGGGCCATTTGGGTTTTTGAGTGGTTTTTTGGAGATAAGAGCCTCAAAGGGACTTTTTTGCCCAGGCTGGCTTCAAACTGCGATCCTTAGATATCAGCCTCCCGAGTAGCTAGGATTACAGGCGTGAGCCACTGGTGCCTGGCACAAGTCAGTGTTTTTCACACAGAGTAATCTTTAAAGCCAATACTTCTCTTTGTCTTTCAAATATTCAAAACATCTAAGGAGAGTAAGTGATATTATGTGATGTAATATTGATTTACGTTTTAGTTTCAAAGACATTTTTCAGGCAAAATTCAGCAATAAGTGCTTTTAGAAAATTCCAATATGGCCGGGCGCCGGTGGCTCACACCTGTAATCCTAGCTACTCAGGAGGCTGAGATCTGAGGATTGTGGTTCAAAGCCAGCCCGGGCAGGAAACTCTGTCAAACTCTTATCTCCAATAAAAATCACCAGAAAAACCGGAAATGGCACTGTAGCTCAAGTGGTAGAGTGCTAGCCTTGAGCTGAGGGACAGCACTCAGGCCTAGAGTTCAAGCCCCACGACCGACAAAAAAAAAAGAAAATTCCAATCTGTAGATACTTCTCCAAAGGAAAGATACTAATGACCTATAAGCACATAGAAAGATATTTAACATCGTCATCAGATGAGAACCACAAAGATACTCCTTTCTAGGCAGTAGCAATCAATGGCCACTGTCAAAAGGTCATATAAGTGAAGAAAAATGGAGGGGAAGAGAGAGAGGGAAGGGAGGGACATGGAGGGGGGTAGACAGGGAGAAAAAGAGGGAGAATGAGGGAGAGACAGAGAGAGGGAGAGACAAAGAGGGAGAGAGAAAGGAGGGGAGGGAGGGGAGAGGAGAAGCCTCTGACATTCCTGCTAGGAGTGTAGTTAATATAGCTGATTTGGAAAAGCCGTTTCTTTGGCAGTTCCTTAAATGGTAAACAAAATTACAATACTCCCCAGTAATTCCATCCCCAGGTATACACAAGATAAATTGATAAAAATAAGTCCACATGTATTTGTCAATTTTTTTAAAGTCTACATAAGGCAGGCACTGGAATGTCATCTGATAGCAATGAAGTGGGGAATTTGGAGCTCTTCATTTTCCTAAGAGAATTTTAACCAACTCTGCTGATCTTGTTAACTCTTCTTTCAGTGCTTCATCTCAAGTACTTTAGAACAGGTAGCTAAGGAGTTCTACAACTAAAGTGGGTTTTTGTTTCTCACTGGCAGTTCTACTAGTCCTGCTCACTATCTACCTAGCTATCAAACATATGGTGCAAACATTCCTTGCTTCCGTTAGTTGCACAACCTCCTCCAATCTGTCAGTGTACAGCTTGCATTTTCGTCCATCATTACTGTTAGTGAAGTTAGAGGCAACACAGATATAAATACATGGGTTATATCTATTATGTTTAAATGGAAATTACTCTCCTGATTTTTCACAATAAAATGAAAAATAAGACCAGTCTCCCTCTGGTGGCTTATACCTATAATCCTGGCTACTCCAGAGGCTGAGATCTGAGGATCACAGTTCAAAGCCAGCCCAGGCAATAAAGTCTATGAGAATCTTGTCTCCAATTAATCAGCAAAAAGCTAGAACTGGAGACATGGCTCAAGTGGTAGACCACCAGCCATAAACAAAAAAGCTGAGATTGAGAAGTCTCTCCAGACACACACATACACACACAAAATAAGACTGACATAATAGGGTCTGGGAACGTGGCTCAGTGGTAGAGCGCTTGCCTTGCATGCCTGAGGCCCTGGGTTCGATTCCCCAGCACCACATAAGCAAAAAGAAAAAAGCCGGAAGTGGCGCTGTGGCTCAAGTGGTAGAGCGCTAGCCTTGAGCTGAAGAGCCTACATTTATGCATTCTATGATTTACATGGCTAATATTTCTTTTAAAGAAGATAAATTAGCAACAGTGTAAGACGTTTTACCTGTAAGATTCTAGAAGATCCACAATTTCAGTCTGTCCAAAGTGTTTAGCCCAATCTAAAGCCATCCTATCAAAATTCAAAGACATTAAAATGAGAAATAATTTTCTTACAAGTATAAAGTCACTCAAAACTATTTACTCATTCAAGTAGAGACATATCAGCAATTATTACATGATACCTTTCCACGTAAAGACAAACTCTGCAAAGACAAAGCATGGGATGTTGCAGACTTACCAGCCATTTGACGCTTTACTATGAACATTGGCTCCCATGCTGATTAACTGCTCTACTTGACTTGTGAAGCCTCGTCCAGCAGCAACCATCAGAGCTGTCGCACTGGTCTCACTATGTCTGTAATCAACTACAGGGAGGAAAAGATAAACTGGTAAACATCCCAAGTATTTTTTTTTTTTTGGTCCGGTCGTGGGGCCTGAACGCTGGGCCTAGGCGCTGTCCCTCAGCTCTTCAGCTCAAGGCTAGCGCTCTACCACTTGAGCCACAGCACCACTTCTGGCTTTTTTTCTTTTTGCTTATGTGGTGGTGAGGAATCGAACCCAGGGCTTCATGCTTGCAAGGCAAGCACTCTACCACTGAGCCACCTTCCCAGCCCCATCCCAAATTTTTTAACCTATTTAATTTTTTAGAGAATGTAAGTGGTAGAATTAGCTGTCAGCATTAACCTGAGACTTGCTTCCTTTTATATAAGAGCATATAATCCTTGTGTTGTATCATACAAGGAAATCTGTTACTAAGAAGGATGGAAAGAAAATCTGTTACTAAATCTGTTACTAAAACAGGATGGAAAGAAAACAAAACAAAAAAAAAAAAAACAAGATGGAGTAAGACAGGTGCTGGCAGCTCACACCTGTAATTCTTGATGTTCAAGGAGGCTGAGAACTGAGGATCAAGGTTCAAAGCCAAACAGGCTACAAGGTCCATGGCCCTGAGTTCAAGCCCCATGACTGACAAAGATAGATTTTGTGCCTAGTGTCATAAAAAGGCAAATAAGAAGGAAAGAATAGGCTAGGAAGGAAGGCGGTAATGAGGGAATCAAAAAGTGTTTGGGCCAGGTTCGTACATGTAACTCTAGCTACTCAGTGGACTGAAACCTGAGGATCAAGGTTTGAAGCCGAAGCAAGAAAGTCTATGAGACTCTTACCTCCAATTATCTACCAAAAAGCCACAAAGCCAGAAGTAGAACTATGGCTCAAGAGCACCAGTGTAGAGCATAAAAGCCCAGGGATAGCATCCAGGACCTGAATTCAGCCCCAGAACAAGTACCCCCCCCCCCCAAAAAAAAAAAAAATGAAGTACTTGTAGCCAAGCACTAGTGGCTCATGCTTGTAATCCTAGCTACTCAGGATGTTGAGATCTGAGGATCATGGTTCAAAGTCAGTTCAGGCAGTAAACTATGAGATTCTTGTCTCCAATTAACCCAACCAGAAGTGATGCTATGGCTCAAAGTGACAGATTGCTAGCCTTGAGCAAAAGAGCTCTGGGACAGCACCAAGGCCCTGAGTTCAAGCCCCATGAGTGACAAAAAAAAAAAAGTTTGTGACATGCCCAGTTTTTACTCACCTAATGACATCTAACTAGAGATGTCAAATGACATCAGTGAGAAGACTAGGATATTACACACTTAAGAGATCAGGAAGGAAAAACAACAACAATATCCTGCCAAGTGAACCCACAAGTTGTATGCAGGAAAATGGAAAGAACACAGGTCATGTATGAATTTTCAGAAGTAGCAGAAAATGTTTCAAAAAGGAATGGTTAGTAATAATTACAGTAATGCTGAAAAGCCTGGATGAGTAAAGTACTCAACATCTCAACTCCAATACTGATTTTCTATGAGGTTTCATTCTGCCTTTTTGCCTAGAAGGCTACCAAGTTCTGAAATGCACTCTGGTTATTAATATCAACTAAGAAAATGAGGATAAGTCATAAGTGAAAGCACATTACAGGACATAATGCACTTAGATGTGAATTCGAACATGAGCTCATAAAATTAACTAAAGCCTTCCATTTACTCAATGAGTAATCCTGAGCAAAAGTTATGACCCAATTTTTTTCCCTCCAATACTGGGGATGGAATTCAGAACCTCATTCTTGCTAGGCAGGCTCTCATCCACCTGAGCCATCCCCTCAATTCCTGTGCTTTTACTTCGTTTTTCAGATGAAGTTCCATCCTGATTACCCTGTGCTGTTCTTGGACCATAATACTTCTAAATGTATCCCCTGATAGCAGGGACCACAGGCCTGTGCCACCATGACAAGCTTGTTTTAGGGATGTGATCTCAAATAACTTTTCCCTGTGTTGGCCCTGAACCTCCTATCTCCACTTCCCAAGTAGTTGGGATTACAGGTGTGAACTACCATGCCCAGCCAGATACCCACTGTTTTGCTTCCTTTGACATAATAAATCTCATTGTGAACCCAAGAAATTACTTTCCAAGATATAGGGTAAGGATATCAGAGCATATAACATACAGAGAGAAATATAACACTCATATGTGTACATGTGCACACAACACAGTACAAAGGCATTTTTGGTAAATAAATGCCATGTATATACAGACCTCATGTAACTATTCTGGAGACCTTAAGTTAACAAATTTAAAACAAGTAATCTAAAAACAAATTACTGGCTGTAGATAAAAACTATAGATGATGCATGTTGTTAAACTATACTTCTACCACAAGCAGCAAGAGTAATAAAAATTCCAGTGAACTCACCACTAACATTTTCGGTTAAAATAAGGTGGAAGACCTGAGCAAAAGCATCGATGTCTTTATGTAGCCATATGTCAGAGAGACAGGAGTCCATGTCCTTTATTAGCCATGGTTCTAGACAGTTCACATCTTTTTCTGTCTTTTAAAAAGAAAAAAAATAACAAGATTATGAATTACCAAACTGCGTGCAAAGAATGAAAAGTGATCACAAGAAGCACAGCCATGTGGCAGGGTGTTATTATATGCCATATGGCATTTCTGAATTACAGCAAAAGATGGATTTCATCTAACAGACATTATCATTCACCACACCGTATTGTTCTTTTTTTTTTTGGGTCCGGTCGTGGGGCCTGAACTCTGGGCCTGGGCGCTGTTCCTCAGTTCTTCAGCTCAAGGCTAGCCCTCTACCACTGGAGCCACAGCACCACTTCCGGCTTTTTTTTTCTTTTTGCTTATGTGGTGCTGAGGAATCGAACCCAGGGCCTCAGGCATGCAAGGCAAGTGCTCTACCACTGAGCCACCTTCCCAGCCCCATACCGTATTGTTCTTACACTCATCTTTTATCTGAGCACAAGCTTGAAAACCAAGAGCTATAACCCAGTCTCAAGCACTGTGCTTCTGAAACCTATTGCTAGATATACCTCCTCTGCTAGCTATGTCAAAAGCAGCATCACCCATCACACCAATGCCATGTCACACTTCAAGAACACCAGTATCTCTGCTAATAAGGACTAGATTCCTCAGGGCTTGAAAGTCTCCTCAGGTGATACAAAGTGGGCCAGGCCTAAGAACCACTAGTTTACATGGTCATAGAACTCATCATACTCAAATGTGCTTTCTTTATACTGAACAACAATGTTTAAGCATTCTTCTTTTGTAGAGAAACAAGGATAGGATAGTACTGGTATTTTGAACTCAAATGACTGCTCTAGCTGGGCAGACACTCTACATCTTGAGCCGCAACTGCAGCCCTTGTCACTCTGGTTATTTCTGAGGTAGGTCTCAGGTTTGGCCTGGTGTTAACCTGGACCACTGTCTTATTTAAGCTTCCCATCATACCTGGGATGACAGACACACATACCACCAACGCCCTGGTACTGGTTGAGATGGGGTCTTGAGAATTTGCTGCCTATGCTGGCCCCAAACTACACTCTTCCTGCATTTTGCCTCTCAAACAGCATTCATTACAGGCATGAACCACTAATTATAATTAACTTGTATGCATGAGAACTTTAAACACTAGTATAAAACTGTAAGCATATCTGTATTATACGCTTTCTCATGTTCACAAACTTCTTTAAGAACAAAGGGTTGTATTATTATGTTAACACCAGGGTGTACATAGTTCAGAAATAGAGTGCTTATAAGGTCCTTTCAATACCCAGCCGACAAAATAACAAAAAGAAAAGGCTGTTTTGAAAAATATGTTGTAGTCTTACATAAACTAAGAGAATTACTTTTCAGTTACAAAGTGAACCAATCACCCACTCACAGGTGTGACCATACAATCTTCACTTGAAATATCATCCTGAAGCCAGTTAAGTTCTCACCAACTGACTGAAGACTGCATCACCACCATCATCCAGTACATCGTACTCTTCAGTCACGCTGGGAACGGCTCTCTGCCTCTGAGACTCAGGCTTGAACGTATTCTCCTGTGCCGAGTACCATTCTGTGAGCGTGGTTTGCTGTTTCTCTTCTAAATTGATCAAAAAGGTAAAAAAATAAGATCAGCACCTTCCTTCATAAAATGTACTTCTTTAAAAAATGTAACTGACAGCTTCACTTAAATATGATGTAAAAAAGTTGGTTTTATTCTGTACTTTTATAAACTATGTTGATAGGGCTGGGGGTGTGGTTCGAATAGTAGAGTGCTTGCCTAAGAAGCATAAGGCCCTGAGCAAAAACTCCAGTGCTGTCAAAAAATTAACAGGAAAAAAAAAAAAAAAAAATATATATATATATATATATGTATGTATGTATATATAAAGAGTATTTCAATACATTTGTTATAATGAACCTCCTGAAACTGCCTAAAAACATATATTTATTCTTAACTGGTTTACTTCTAAGTAAGCCCAGAATTAAGAGTATTTTTCTCCATATTATATGTCACAATTAAATCAATGACTTATTGTCACATAGTATTTTTAGAAAACTATTAATGAGACTTCAGTCACCATGCAAGTTATTTGATATACACTGCAAATATTTCAAAAGTTTCCAGATTGACAAGTTTCACAATTTCCAAATAGCCAATTCTGCACACCCAGTAAAATGAGCATTGTTCATCACATTTCCAAGTGGAGAATCCAAAGGAACTAAGACAGCTGTCCAAGGTGATAAAGCAAACAGAGGAATTAAAGTCTGAAGCCAAGTCCAGTGGAAAAGAAAAGGGCTATAGTGTCAGTCATAATAACAGTTGTTTTCATAGACAAATAATGTTAAACTCAAGTATCAATGCAATCCTATGACAATATTAAGAGTTGGAAAAATGTGACATTTTTATGAAAGGTAAGCCTATATTACTCACAGGCTACTTTTTTTTTGTGGTTTCTTTTTTTTTTTTTTTTTTTGGTCGGTCATGGGCCTGAACTCTGAGCCTGGGTGCTGTCCCTCAGCTTTTCAGCTGTAGACTAGTGCTCTACCACTTGAGCCTCAGCCCCACTTCCAGCTTTTTCTGCTTATGTGGTGCTGAGGAATCAAACCGAGGGCCTCATGCATGCAAGGCAAGCCCTCGACCACTGAGCCACCTTCCCAGTGCTACCTTTGTTTTTTTTAAACTCAGAGCCTCATTCTTGCTAGGCAGGAGGTCCACCACTTTAGTCACACCACCATTCTTTTTCTCTCATTTTTTCCAATAAGGACAGCCTTGACCACGACTCCCCCACTGAAACTTCCTATGCCGCTGGCATGCTGGGTGGGTGCCACCAGCGTCCCTGACGTCATTCTTAACCCCTTTGCACACTTCCCATGGCCACCTACAAGTACTGATTTCTTAAACCGAAGTGAGGCCTGGCTTCAGACACTCCATCTCATCAATTCTGGGATCCACTTTCAATCTCATTCTCCAGATTACAACTTCTGGACACAAACCAGCATCCAATGAGGCAGAGGGGCATAGTTTAACATAGTTTTATACAATTACATGCAAGAGAAAAACATTTTAAAGTATCCTCTTATGTGCCCATAAACATAAAACTTATTTTAAAAAGTCATTTTAACAGTAATTTATATTTCTTTGATAAAAAGCTTACCTCGCTGTTTTTCTTTTTTGTACTTTAACATTTCTTTGTTGGTATATCCAGTCGTTTTTAGAATATCTTCCAGAAACATTTCTTTTACCTCAAATGGTCTTCCTTGTACTAAACAAATTTTAAAACACTATCAATTTGCATTATACAGATAATCAATCCACAAAATATGAGAATTCCAAGTCTAACGAACTGAGTGTAATATCCAAAAGCAAAAGCAATCTGAAAGTTCAAGTGACTCTCATATGGTCCTTCACAAAGAATTCATTTCTAGACACCTATCTCTAAGGGATATGTATGTATATCATCTGCTTATCATGTGTCTGTCATCACATCAGGCAGAAGGAACATAAACGCCAAGCAGAAAGCTCTACCTCCATCTCTTTGAGGCACATTAACATGGGAGACAGACAGGAAACCAATTACACAAAGTAAGTACAAAAACAGAGCTGTAAAAAAGCCTTATAAAACAGTCTTATGAAAGAGAAATGCAAGACACCAGGACAGAATATATCCTCAAGTAGGAACTGAGGAACAAGAGAAGGAGTAAACTAAACAACTGGCTCTACAGAAAAGTATATGCAGGGAAGAAAACCCAGCATATGCAGACCCTATAGTGGGGAAAAAGTATGTGGTCAAGGGGCTAAAAAGCTGGCTAACCCACTTGGAAAAAGGAAGTAGAGAGGAAATCAAGAATTCAAGAGGAGTCCAGAAGAAAGGGTGAACAAATGCAGCAATGGTACTCACTAGACACTGCGTTGAAAATGAATTATACAATTTGTATGTGGGGATGGGGAAAAAAAACTGGCAGTGAGGGAAGGGTTCATTGTCCAAAAAGAAATGTACTCTTTACCTGACTTACATAACTACAGCCCCTCTGTACATCACCTTTATAATAATAAAAAAATTAAGAAGTCTAGAATTATTCAAAGCTTAGGTCATTGTCCTATATAAAAGGACATTCAGGCTGGGAAGGTGGCTCAGTGGTAGAGCGCTTGCCTTGCATGCTCGAGGCCCTGGGTTCGATTCCTCAGCACCACATAAGCAAAAAGAAAAAAGCCGGAAGTGGCACTGTGGCTCAAGTGGTAGAGCGCTAGCCTTGAGCTGAAGAGCTGAGGGACAGCGCCCAGGCCCAGAGTTCAGGCCCCACGACTGGACCCCAAAAAAAAATAATAATAATAATAAAATAAAAATAAAAAAATAAAAAAAAAAGATAAAAGGACATTCAAAGATTTAAACTTAACAAAGTTCTCAACATTATCAGAATTCTACTTCAGAAAAGATCTCTCTGGCTGCATTGTGGAAAATGGATTTAAAGGTCAGCAGAATGGAATGGAATGAGGTAGGAACTCGTGATAATCCAGGTAATAGAAGCCAACTACTTAAATCAGACTAGAGTAAAAATGAAATAGGTTCTTGAAAAAGGAAGTGAAATACAAAGAATTCAGAAAAGCACCAGTAGGAAAGAATGCTGAAGGAAGTGTTGGCTGAAATACTTGCCATCTGGCTTACAAATCCCTAAAGTGGTTACCCTGAGGGAACCAGGAAAGCTAGTAAGAGACACATGTCAGCTAGTGGGAGCTGTGTTTGGTTTTATGCATCTCAAACATGAGGAACCAAAAGTAGCTTTGAATTGGCATAGACTTTCAAGGTGCCAATTGTAACTGCTTAAGCAACTACACAGAGCATGTATAGGTTTGCCCAGTGACTAGGCCAACAGCAGTAGAATTAACTAAGACAAGCAACTCAAGGAGGAAACCAGGTATTGGGTTTGGAGTATGTCTCAAGGCATTTCGTGTCTATAAGTTACCTAAATCCAAAGCTATAGAGAACCATCTTCAGCACACCAAAGAAAGAAGCCAAGGGCATGAAACAGTCTCCAAGCAAACTGACTGCAATTCCAGTAACTAACAGAGTGCAACACAGAGAAGGAAAGATAGAGGGGGTGAAAAACCAAGAAGGGAGAAGGAATGGAGAAAGAAAAGGAAATGGATCAAGGGAAAAACTCAGGACAATACCAACATTTAAATACTACAAAAGAGAGGGAAGGGAGAAAGATGCGGTGATTCTACAGTGCAGAGTAAGACATGCAAGTTGCAATGCCAAGTGAACCGTGGCTCTGAGCATTTCGCCAAAGGGGCAAAATAACACTCAACACTGAAGTAAGGTTTTTGTCTGAAATTAAAATATGGAGTATGGCAATTAGATCTGAATCAAAGTAATTCTCAGAGGATTGCACAAGTAAACGTCCCAGACACAGCTCAAAAATGGAAAGCATTTCAGTTTTTTGAAAAAAGGAAAATGGCCAAAGCTACAAGAAAAAATTAGGACTGGGGGCATGGCTTAAACAGAGAACATCTGCATAGCAAGCTCAAGGTCTTATTATCATTGCACACACATCAAAAAGAAAATCACGCCGGGCGCTGGTGGTTCACGCCTGTAATCCTAGCTACTCAGGAGGCTGAGATCTGAGGATCGCGGTTCAAAGCCAGCCCGGGCAGGAAAGGCTGTGAGACTCTTATCTCCAATAAACCACCAGAAAACCGGAAGTGGCGCTGTGGCTCAAGTGGTAGAGCGCTCGCCTTGAGCTGAAGAGCTGAGGGACAGCGCCCAGGCCCAGAGTTCAAGCCCCACGGCCGACCAAAAAAAAAAAAGAAAATCACTAAGTAACTCTAAAACTCATCTGTTCTTTTACTGAGCAATTTCACTTTCAGGACTCTACTCCTAGATATAAGAGTATACAAGGATATACATACACGGATATACATTCAAGATATTCTTAAGCCGGGCGCCAGTGGCTCATACCTGTCACCCCTGCTACTCAGGAGGCTGAGATCTGAGGATGGTGGTTCAAAGCCATCCTGAGCAGGAAAGACCGTGAGACTCTCATCTTCAATAACCTACCAGAAAACTGGAAGTGGCACTGTGGCTCAAGTGGTAGAGGACTCATCCTGAGCTGAAGGACTGAGGGACAGCATCCAGGCCCAGAGTTCAAAGCCCCACAATTGACCAAAAAATTAAAAATTAAAAATAAATTTTAAAAAAGATATTCTTTTAATCATCATTTATAGGAGGGGGAAGGGAGAATCTAAAAACAATCAGAGTATCTCAAAATAAAAGGAAATATTAAATAAGTCTTGGTATATACATAGATTATAATAATCAGACAACAGCTTAAAATAAGGAACTAGATCCTACTGAACCAATAAACTGTTTATAACTTATTGTCATGTAAGTAAATCAAACAATAAGTATACGCTCAGGGTTTTGTTTTTGTTTATGAGTGTGTGCTGGTCCTAGGGCTTGAACTCAGGGCCTGGGCAGTATCTTTGAGCATTTTCGCTTTCTGGCTTTTTAGTGGATAACTGGCAATAGGAATCTCACAGACTTTCCTGCCTGAAGTGGCTTACGATCATGATCCTCAGATCTCAGCTCCTAAGTAACTGGAATTACAGGTGTAAGCCACCAGTGACTAGCTATGCTCAGTTTTATACACCATTTTTTGTAAATACGTATAGATATATTTGCATACATTTACATGACATGGTCAACTAAGAAAGGAAATCTACCATGCTTTTAAAATCATAGCACCAGGAAGATAGGGCATGGAACAGAAAGAGGATAAACACCGCTATGAAGTTTTATTTCCTCTATAAATTCTCATTACTATTCCATTAAAATGTATACAACTTGTATAATTTTTAAAGAATTTTTTTTAAGGATTAGAGGCAAAATCTGGTTCTATTAAAGTGACAGAGCAAATATTAAATGACAGAATACTCAGAAGTAATTGAGAGCAAACATGGAAATATGCTCTATTTTTCAAAAGGACCTCACATTAAAGGGAAGAAGTTGGAAGACAGAATCTAAAGAGAATCCCAGATTAAAATAAAATGTATTTCTTTTTAAGATTAGAGAACTGAATTTACCACACTACACCAAAGGGCTCTGGTGGGAAAGGAGAGGTGGAAAGCAGAGAGAACTAACTGTATCCTTATCTCACAGGACGAAAGGGATGCCCTCTAGTTCAAAACACTCCCCAACTTCTGCTAGAAAAAAGTAAGACATGCCAAAGTTTACTTCATAAAAAGTAAAGAGATCTGATCATTCTACTTACTATATATCACTGGACAACTTCCAAAATATCTTATAAAGAGATTTACATCCAAGGCAGCACTTGAAAGAATCAGTTTCAAAGTTGGGTGCTTTTGCAACAAATCTCTTAACTTTGTAAGTAAAAAATCACTAAATCGATCCCGTTCATGCACTTCATCCTGAATCAAATAAAACCATGCAACAGTTAAAAGTTATGAATGACAAATCTTTAGAGTAACGGTATGCTAGACTTACACAAGTTCAAATTAAACGTGGACAAAGTTAACTGGTGTTAGGGAAGATACTGTGTGATAGGCAAGTCAGAATCAAGCATTAACAACTATGCAAAACAAAGTTCTGTCTTTCCTATAGCATGTAAAACTACATTAGCTAGAACAAATTCTAAACAAGTAGAGCTTAATATAGCTCCATTATAAACAAAACTAATTTAAAGACACATATACTGGGCAAGTATAAGCTACTTGGGAGGCTGAGGCAGCAGGATCACCAGTTTGAGACCAGACCAGGAAACTTATTAAGGGCTCATCTCAAAAACAAAAAAATATGGAGCTGGGAAGGTGGCTCAGTGGTACAGCGCTTGTCTTGCACGCCTGAGGCCCTGGGTTCAATTCCTCAGCACCACATAAGCAAAAAGAAAAAAACTGGAAGTGGCATTGTGGCTCAAGTGGTAGAGCGCTAGCCTTGAACTGAAGAGCTGAGGGACCAGGCCCAGAGTTCAGGCCCCACGACTGGACCCTAAAAAAAAAAAAGTATATATGTGTATATATATATATATATGTATATATATACACACACACACACACACACACACACACACACACACACACACACACACACACACACACACACACACACACACACACACACACACACATATATACACACATGCTACTGTTATCATTGGAAGTCAAGTGCATCTTCTGGCTTAAGTTTCCAACTGGTGCTTATTAAAAGCTTATATAATTTAATCTTATTCATCAACATTCATAATCTTATTTAATCAAGAGCTAATTTAGCCAACTTACCATATAAGGAAAATACATATTAAAGGAAGGACTGAGTACCTTTAGAGATGGAAAAAAATAGAACCTTCTACATATAAAATGGATATTTTTCCCATGTCTTATTTTTTCCCCATAAAACTTGAAGAATATTTAATACAAAATACTTATTTCTAGTAGTTACAGACAAAAAATAAGTTGATGAGAATAGGCTGTCCAGAACAATGAATTACTTCTCATTTTGACCCTATTCTAAAAACGCAACTAAGGATTTCACTTCAACGATGTGAGCAGCCTGTGGCAAACTCAGGGGCACTCTTACCACAATCACGTGGGTCACTGTTGACAAGGTGCTGTCCCCGGCCATCAATGTGCGAAGCAGCACCCCATTTGTGCAAAATGTCAGCAGTGTCTTTGGAGAAACCCTTTGTAAGACAACAAACACAGTGCACAATTACCAATCTTCTAGGAGATTAAAAACTGCTTTACCTGCTGGTCTTAGGTGCAGTTTAATAAATATTAGTAATGGTATGATGGCTTATTAGGAAAGTTATATGAAGTACACAGTTTCTACATGGTAATCTCACAACTTCGTTATGAGTAACTGTCTTATTAACTAAGTAATATACACATTTGAAAAAAAAAAAACTCAGGTTGAAAAACAACCTTAAGTACTTCTTACTTGGGGAAAAGAATGTATCACAAACTGAACCAACTTTTAGAATCACTAATGAAGACAAATAAATAGTATTTGTCAAGAGGTGCCCTGTGTCCTACTGGAGGCTGAGCATTCTTAAGCAGAAGGCCTCAAATCTAAATTATTCAGGAAGTATTGGGTTTCGTACATTTCTGATTATAGACGCTTAATCGGTACAGTTGATACAAATATCCCAATTTCTGAACACCTCTAAAATCGGATGCACAACTGGTGATAAAGGGACAATATTCAATCTGGATCAATGACGTTAAAATCCAGTCACAAACATTTGAGTTCTTACTATATGCATTAACACCAAACCCATGTTCTAGGTGCCGAATTAGCTTCATTTTGCAGGGGAAACAGAGTCTCAGCAAGGTGAAATAACTTGTACACATGATCACACTATGAAATGGGGTTTGCACATCTGGTCCAAACTGTTTGTCAAACTATTTTTTCTATACCTCACCAAGTTCAGACATGATGTCAACATCCTGGTACAAAGTGATCATTTAATTTTCAACTAACATGCTGGGCACTCATGTAATCCTAGCAACTCAGGAGGCTGACCACAGTGTGAAGCCAGACTGGGCAGGAAAGTCTGTGAAACATCTCCAAATAAACATCAAAAGATGCAGAAGCGGAGCTGTGGGTCAAGTGCTAGCCTTGAGTCTAGTCCTAGGACCAGTACAAAATCTTTTTTTTCTTTTTTGTCGGTCGTGGGGCTTGAACTCTGGGCCTGGGCGCTGTCCCTCAGCTCTTCAGCTCAAGGCGAGCGCTCTACCACTTGAGGTACAGTGCCACTTCCGGTTTTCTGGTGGTTTACTGGAGATAGGAGTCTCACGGTCTTTCTTGCCCAGGCTGGCTTTGAACCGCGATCCTCAGATCTCAGCCTCCTGAGTAGCTAGGATTACAGGCGTGAGCCACCAGCGCCCGGCTTCTTTTTTTTCTTTTTCAAGTAACATATCCTTAGTTTTTAATGACATGTACATACTTAAGTCTTTTCTGAGCATGAGAAGGAGGACTGCCTTTACCTGCTTTCTAATCGGATCTGATAACCAATTGTTTGACCAATTCTTTCCCTTCTCTCGGCAGCAACTCTTTCAGCCACAGCAATGGCTGCTAATCGTCTTGGCTGTGTACAAAATATGCGGCAGGGGATTCCATTTTTAAAGCAGTCATCTAAGAGGAACTGAGGAATCTGAAATGAAAGTTTTAAAATATTATAAAATGCCATGCATTTTTTTTCATTGCCAGAGAAATCCAAATGAATCAACTGAGAAACTGTTAGAACCAAAAAAGTTCTCAAATAAACAAAAATTGAGGAAATTTGTTGCCAGTAAATATACTTTGCAGAACCCCTCTGTACAGTATCTTTATAATAAAAAGAAATTTAAAAAAAAAAAATATATATATATATATATGCATTGCAGGAAAATAAAATAGGCCAGAAACTCTGATCTTCAGAGGAAACATAAAACAAGGAATAGATTAATGCAAAAATTTATTTTTCTTTTCCTCAATTGACCTAAGATGTAAGCTTGCTCAGAATAGTGATAGTATGTGATTATATGATTACGTATGTATCCTATGTGTGCATGGCTGTAAGTTATGACATCAGTGTCATAACAACATGTCCCTGCATGCAGGGACACGAGGGAAGGATCTGTAAGGATGCTATTATTTAATGAACTCTCACCACCGGTGGAGTGGTGGTGATAGCTGAAGGTAGATAGAACAGATGTGTACGGCAAACCCTGTGTCTGCTGGAAAAAGTAAAAAAATAATGAAAAAAAAAAAAAATAATGAAACACCATAAGCTACATTAAGTAACAAGTGGCATCCTGGAGCTAGCAGAAAGGATGAGCTTAAAGATACATGAACAAAAACTCCAAAAACAGACCCAGGTATAATAAAAACATTATCACAAATGGAATACTAAATCAGGGGGCAAAGGGTTTTTACATAAAAGATGTATTTCAACAAATACTGACAAAGAATAAAGATTTCTACTTGATATGAATACAATGAAATTCCTAAGAAATGTTTTAAATAAAAGTATTAGAGAGGGAGGGAGGGGATGGTAGGGGGAAAACAATGGAGGGGGTAACAATGTTCAAGAGGAAGTGTACTCATTACCTCACTCATGTAACTGTAACCCTCTGTATAGTATCTTTACAATAAAAAAAAACAAAAAAACAAAAAAAGTATTAGAATAGAATATTTATAGGAAAACATTACTTTTAATGTCCAAGTAGAAAATGCTCTCCTTCCCAAAAACCTTAAAAAAAACTTTAAAAACCTTAAAAAAAAAAACTTTAAAAACCTTAAAAAAGTATGACTAAATAAGAATGTTAAACTACTAAACAAAATACCATAAGAAAAATTTAGAAGATTAGAAATTATTTTTAAATATTTAATAGACAATAGACATAGATGCATAACACAAAGTATTCTAAAAAATTAATTCAAAATGATTAAAACAAAAAAAAGGATATAAATAGGAAACACACACCAGGCATAGTATAGCACACACCTGTACTCCCAGCATTCACGAAGCTGAGGCAGGAAGACTGTGAATGTGTGTATGTGTATGTGTGTGTGGCGTGTGGTGTGTATATTTAACTCCTCTGAGCTAGTTTCTTCGTTTGAAATACAGGAAGTTCTTAGCTTGCAAAAGTTACTATAAGCACAATGCCCATCTTGCTCAAGTCTTAAGAGACACAGGAACATTTAATAGTGTTTTAATATATTACTAACTACAATATCCTTAACATGGCATCTGCACTTCTAGAAATTTATCTTCCCAGAAAAGCAAATAAATGTTAGGAAACAAGGAGAGTAAGGTTCCTACTCTGCGCCAGGGCAGGTAACATCTGGACACTTCAGTTCTTATTTCTTATCTGTAAAAAGAGAGGATGAAAATCTACTTGTTTTGAGGTTATGAAGAGGCTGGAATAATACAGCCCTTGTAAAACTTAACGCACAGTAAAACTGTCACTTTTTATCATTCTGTTTGGGAAAACATGCAGCTATTTTTAAGATGAGGTAAGCCTCTAAGTACCGGCATAGAAAAATATCTAATTTTGGCTAGATGAAAAAATAAAAGCAAATGTCATTATCTATGTTTATTACCAGATGCACATATGTGTGCCTGTGTTCTCTTGATGAAAAGAGAACACAACAATACACACACTTTGTCGCTCAACAACTAAAAAACATATTGCAGGTTTCTAACAATAATGCAGGAAGAGAATTAACAGAATACTAACTCCATTTCTCCCTTCCTATATAATATGTTCCATGATGTTTTATATAATGAAATGCAAGTATTACTTAATTTCTTAACATTAAAAGCAAAATGCTATGATTTTTAAATTTTTTATTGCATATTAGAATTTGGTTAACTTTCAGTATTTGAGTGAGTCTTAACTTCAGGTGCTCATTACTACACTATGGGAGGCACTGAATCTACAAGAGTGAAACTCTGGCTCAGAGTTACAAATCCCCTTAAACCTTCACAGTCATCAGTGGGGAAACTGGAATTTGGATGCAAGGTTCCCAAATGCCTCCCTTGACACCAAAGGACTTACAAAGGGCACCTGCCCCTCTGTCTCACTAAAGTACAAATGTGCCAATTAAAAAACAAATAATTAATGGGCTGGGAAGGTGGCTCAGTGGTAGAGTATTGGCCTTGCATGCATAAGGCCCTGGGTTCAATTCCCCAGCACCACCTAAGCAGAAAAAGCCGGAAGTGGCACCGTGGCTCAAGTAGTAGAGTACTAGCCCTGAGCTGAAGAGCTGAGGGACAGTGCCAGGCCCAGAGTTCAGGCCCCACAACTGACAAAAAAAATAAATAATTTAAAAACAGCTGCTTTCTACAGATTCTCTAAATATACTTCTAATAATAATTTATTTCTGAAATAACCAGTAGAATAACCAGAAATTTTTTAAACATGCGTCGTAGCCAGGCGCTGGTGGCACACGCCTGTAATCCTAGCTACTCAGGAGGCTGAGATCTGAGGATCATGGTTCAAACCGTGAGACTCTTGTCTCCAATAAACCACCAGAAAACTGGAAGTGGCGCTGTAGCTCAAGCGGTAGAGCACTAACCTTGAGCTGAAGAGCTGAGGGACAGCGCCCAGGCCCAGAGTTCAAGCCCCATGATTGACAAAAAAAAAAAAATCCATAGCCTAACTCTGGTGTAAAACTACAACATGGGACAAATTTTCTTCTTGAAAACAACCAAGAACAAACCTGTGTGGTCTTTCCTGACCCAGTTTCTCCTACAATCAAAACTACTTTATTTTCCTTAATTATGTTAACAATCTCTTCTTGTTTCTCAAACACTGGCAAAGACTGCCTGAATGCATCAAATTCTGATTCTCCTCTTTTTACTGGAACTTGAGGTATGCCATTGTTGAGTCGCCCGCTCGTCTTGCTCATTTCTCTGTTTTCTTTGAAAAGGAATAAAAAAGAAAACATTCATGATCCACAGTGAAAAAGAAGTGCTGAGAACAAAGGTAAGTAGCTTCTATGTAATCCAGTCTACAGTTAGCAAACTTCTACCCAGCTGTGCACCACAGCATGCACTATAAATGTCACTAGGATTGAATACAAAGCAAACACCTCAAGAGTATTCCTTATGCATAGCGAACAAAAGTTAATAATTCAATAACCATTAGAAAGAAAAGTGTTGACAATCTAAATCATTTTCAGGTTTGCTCTAAGTTTCTCTCACTCACAAAAAATTAAAACTTTGAAATAGTAAATAATGTTCATCATACTTAAAATACATTACATACAATGTGAAACAGCATTACAAAAGTTAACTAAGGTTACACATCATGATTAAATGATTAAACAGAATAACAGAATAATATGTGTAAATACAAGGTTGTAATGCTTAGTGAATTTCCTAATTGAGCATTTAGCTACATTTAACTAAGCAGGCAGGAAGAAGTTTTTGGTTGGTTTTTATTTTTTTTTTTTAATTCTCTAGACAAATCAGAATATTTTTCTATGCTTGTATTTAGAACAAGCTCTTCAAAGCGGGGGGATGTAGCTAGGTGATAAAGCACCAGCCTTGCATGCATATGACCCTGAGTTCAATCCTCAGCACCACCAAATAAATACAAGCTAAAAAATAAAAATAAAAACTAGACAAATTCAGTCTCTTCACCATGTATTTGCTACACAACACAGATGCTGGAGAAGTGACCATCAATGAATTTATGACTACCATTTCAATAAGATAAACTTTCTCACTTGGAAGTAATTCTTCCAAATAACTTCTTTCTAAAACTATAAATCTGAGAAATTTAATGCACTGACAATTCTGCCCCATCCCTTAGTAGAAGCTAAGCCTCCCCATCAAACTCCTGGTCACTATGGCATCGCAGCAGCATAATTTCGGGAAGCCTAGACTTTGAATCAATCCCAGCTCTGAAGTTCACTGGCTGGTTGAGTGACCTTAAATTATTTAACTCCTTTGAGCTACAGTTTCATCATCTTTGAAATTTAGGAAGTTCTTAGCATGCAAAGGTTGTTATGAGGCCCTTTACAGAGGTCAGCATGTCCCCTAGCTAATAGCTAATACTATAATAACACTTAAGAGTAAACTTGGCTCAACTCCATGACATGCCTTAACTCTGCATTTTGTTTCATACTTTTCACCACCTTTAGTTATTTCTAACAAACTATAAAAACTTTTAGTTTTTAACATCTAAAATGGAAAAGTCATCAAATACAAAAATAAGGTAACTCCCAGGGCATACATACCAGCTTCAACTGCAAACACATTTCCTCTTTCTGTTTTAGGCAGAAGTTCAGTACGCTCTTTATTGGTGACAGGAAATCTCTGAATTAGGCTCCTAACAGCGTGTTTTGTATTATGAGTCAAATTACAGGTCATCACTGCATGAGCTGTTTCTGATCCGTCTTTCTTCTTCACAGTTAGGTATCTATTTGCTCCCTTTCTAAATATTAATAAAAACCATTTATTTACTACAGTCAACTCATGCACATATGACATATACCCACTTAGAAATTATGTCTCAAGCAAAACAATGGGAAAGAAAGACCAAAATGGCTTGAGAAATCCCTAAGAGCTCAGTAAGGACAGATCTGGAGTTCAAGTGGCCACAAGATTATTTTCAATTGAAATTTGAAAATGCTACAAAACAAAAAACAAAAAAAACACTTACCCACAAGTGTTAAGTACCTATTGTTGACAAAAATTTAAACCTAATGAAAATCAGGGAAATTATAAAGTACATGTAATTTTTATGGCATTTGTATTTGTTGCTCATTTCTATAATATGATAATGCCATTCACAAATGGTAAACATTTAGATGAAACATCACCAGTTAACATACGCTACGAAGCACAGAGAGGGAAAAATTTGAACAAAAGAACCTAAAAATGATAATGAAATCTGTGGCTGACAGTTCAAATGACTATGTCCCACTGAACGCTTCCAGTATGTGGGAAATGACCTGCTCCCATGAAAACCTGTTGAGAGAAATGAGTAACACAGAAGAAATGCTAACTATATCAATACACATTTTTTTTTTTTGGGGGGGGGGTCCAGTTGTGGGGCCTGAACTCTGGGCCTGGGCGCTGTCTCTCAGCTCTTCAGCTCAAGGCTAGCACTCTACCACTTGAACCACAGTGCTACTTCCAGCTTTTTTCTTTCTGCTTATGTGGTGCTGAGGAATCGAACCTAGGGCCTCATGCACGCAAGGCAAGCGCTCTACCACTGAGCCACCTTCCCAGCCCCTCAATACACATTATTTTAATAAAATACAATGTTCACAGCTTCTGGCTCTATCCTTCAATTATAAGGTAATGATGATCTAACACTGTTCAAGAACGTTATTTCCTGGAATTCTGTTTCTTCAACTAATCTTCAACTGACAGTTCCTCTTAGTACTTCTGTAGTTCTAAGAGTATTAGGGAAAATATTACACAGTGAAGTCCCCAAATGTGATGTGGATAGTGATTAGGAGCTCCTGCTCTGAAGGCACACAGGCCTGGGTTTGAATCCCAGGCCTAATGCTTAGTAACATGGGACTATAAACAAACTCATAGCTCAGAGCCACCTAGCTCAAGTGATTATTCACATGGTTAAGACTGAACGGACTGCAAGAGTGTGCTACAAACAGGAAAAAGCTTGTAATTATAATCAAGGAAAAAAGTCATCCTTAAAAGTTGTAAAAAACATTGACCATTTGTGAATGGCACTATCTTATTACAGAAATGAGCAACAGAAATACAAATGCCATAAAATTACATGTACTTTATCATTTCCTTGGTTTTCATTAATTTAAATTTTTGCCAACAATTTCGTCTTCTCTTAGAATATTAAACTACAGATTAACCTACACCATTTTGATTAATGATGCTTCCAGGTGAGGCTTTCATTTTACCAAGTTTTTTTTTTTCCAGAAATCTCTTACTGAATACTACTTTATAATAAAGTGTAAATTTTCAGTGATCAGGTACTCCTTGAGTGCTTAATGATGATTTTAAAACAATTTTTTAAATGATTAAATTTTAGAACTGTGTGAGTCAAGTGGTAGAGAAGCATACTAGCACACATAGACGTACATTTGCACATATACACACACACACTTGTACACACACACTATAAATTTTAACCTAAAAATTTCAGTTACTTCCATATGAAAATCAAAATTTGGATTCCAGCAATGTTTTCGAACATGCTTTTCCCAGAGACCTCTCTGCAAGTTCTGAAACTATGCATTACAGTCAATTACTCATCCCTTCATGTGTTGTTCAAAAGATGTGAACTGCAAGAGATATGAAGTATGTTGAAGTAAGTGCTGGATGGAGCCTAATTCAGGAGGCTAGTGTTCATCTACTAATAATTTCTCAACTACCTGGTTACATGATAAAAATATTTTAAATTCTATACTACTACACCCTGGTTTAAAAAAACCCTGTACCTTTCCAATGTATCTACCAGCTACAGAAGGTTTTGCCGTATTACACCTTTAGCTAATTTTCTTTCACTCATTCAATGATATGCAGTGTAGTAATTGAGCACCTAAGATACGCCAGACACTACAGAAGAAACTAGAATTAGAAAACTGAGTAAAACATACTCCTTCCTCAATAACATAACAATCAAAATTATGTGTTAAAATGAATGCTTCCTAACACAGATTACACTACCTAACATAGTGGATAAATATAAAATAATTCACAAGGCGCCTGTGGCTCACGCAACTCAGGAGGCCAAACATTACTGTCCAAAGCCAGCTTGGGCAGGAAAGTCCTTGAGACTCTTATCTCCAAATAACCACCAAAAAACTGGAAGTGGTGCTGTTGCTCAAAATGGTAGAGCGCTGGCAATGAGCAAAAACTCTCAGGAATAGTACCCAAGTCCCAAGTTCGAGCCCCACATCTGACCAAAAAAGTAAATTCAAAGTTAGCTTTCTGCAAAAACAAAACATTTGAAAAATCAATGGCTACTAAATAAACACTGTACAAAGTTTGCTCAAAATGAAAAGGAATGAACTAAGAAATCTAAGAAGTCTCTGCCTGAAGATTTTAGGCATGAGGAACTGAGTAAGCAAGTGACACTGTTTCCCTCAGTGTTTCCTTCCTTCTACCTCACCTCCTGCTCTTCAGTGTTAACTCATTCCCTGAGCTGGGTGTGATTCACTGTTAAGAGTGTTTACTTAGTGTAGATGAGGCCCTGGATTCAATTCTTAGAACTGTAAATACACACTCTCTCTCTCTCTCTCTCTCTCTCTCTCTCTCTCTCTCTCTCCACAGTCCTAGCACTCAGGAGGCTGAGACAGGCAAATGGCAAGTTTCAGACCACTTTGGGCTACATGTTGAGATACTGTATTGAAATAAAAGGGTTCCTCAGTTGCCTTTCTTGTCCTGGTACCTTTTCTCTTTCTCTCTCCTTTCTCAGATGTTTCTCCATTCTGGATCACCTTTCAAATGACCATGCTATTGAATAGAAATACAGGTAGTCTGTACAAACAGGCTGCTTTTTTATGAATAATTGCTAGCCATCATAAACAGTGCTATTTAGAATTTAAAACTATCACTTAGCCATAGAAATGATGTAACTACATAGAAGCTTGTTTTCTAACGCAAGCCCCAAACTTATCAGCAACTCTGAAATTCAAACAGCTCTGAAAACTGGAAATTGTTTTTATTTTTTGGTGTTGGTTATGGGGCTTGAATTTAGGGCCTGGGTGCTGTCCCTAAGCTTTTTCTCTCAAGGCTAGTGTTCTACCACTTTGAGTCACAGCTCCATTTCTCATTTTTTTTTTTTTAAGTCTCACAGACTTTCCTTCCCTGGGCTGGCTTGGAACCGTGCTCCTCAGATCTCAGCTTCTTGAGTAGCTAAGATTACAGATTTGAGTCACCACCAGCACCTGGCTTGGAAGTTACTTTTTTTATAAGTTTGCAGCAACTCCATGGGCAACAAAGCCTGATTAAATTAACATGAGGTTATTAAGCCTTTATGTGGTGTGAATATTTATACATTTTCCAAAAAAATATTAATGAAAGTAAAGGTGAAGCCTCTACCTTATTAGAAGTACTGTGTAACATACAATAAGGGCACTCCTGATGCCATTCTAAATTCTGAAAGACCTGAACCTCAAAACATGTTTTGAAGATTATGGCTTAAGTATTTTCCTTTTCAAGTGTAGCATTTACCCATCTAGTAGAGTGAGTCATATGAACCTAGCCAGGAGCCAGGTTCCTGATGAACCTAGTTAGGAACCTAATTGCTCTTTTAGGATTTACCTAGGTGACAGGCATCTAAGCTAAAGTCCAGTTTCAGCCAGTATAATAGGCATTCATGGAGCTGGGAAGGTGGCTCAGTGGTAGAGCACTTGCCTTGCATGCCTGAGGCCCTGAGTTCGATTCCTCAGCACCACATAAGCAAAAAGAAAAAAGCCACAAGTGGTGCTGTGGCTCAAGCAGTAGAGCGCTAGCCTTGAGCTGAAGAGCTGAGGGACAGTGCCCAGGCCCAGAGTTCAGGCCCCACAACCACACCAAAAAAAAAAAATAGGCATTCATATGCAAGATCTTATTATCTTGTAATCCACTCTTCAAAGACATGTTTTGATCAAAAACAAAAATAATGTGCCCAACTTCAACTTTTAAACTATCTTTTCCTTACATCTTAAAATCTCACCTTGAAGGGGTTTAGAGTATGCCTCCAAGATGTGTACTCTTCCCATTAGGGCTATTTTGAACTAAAGAAAAATGTGAAAAAGCAGACAGAGAAAGAGCTCTCGTCCTTCCGCTCCAGGCCAAAACAGCAGGCTGATGCTTAGACACAGAGACATCTGCTAGATAAACCCTCAGGGAACCAGAGAAGCCAGCAAGGCAAAACTTGTTAAAACCACCTTTATCTTCTAGCAGTGTAACTAAGCAATTACAAGCTCCGCGGCCTTTATGTTTGTTTTTGTTTTGCAAGAGTAGATGCTCTATAAAACAAGGTTGAATTCATCTTCACTGGCCTCCCTCGGCTTATATGCAATACACCTTTTAACAAACATTTTCCTCTCGTTAATCTGTCTTGTATCAGAGTCTAAGTTTCAAAAAGAAAACTGTACTTCCTTCTCTAGAAAGAGGTGAAAAGAAAAAAGAAATAACTCAGGCCTTGGTAAAGACCTGAGTTTATCTACACACACTGTAATTTAAAATGCAGAGCTAAATGGGGAATAACTAAATGTACTAAGTCACATGTATCCTTCTCTTGGTAAATACATCTTCCCTTGAGGATGAGTGTGGTGGTGCACACCTGTAATGCACCAGTAGGCTGGAGCCAGCAGATTGTAAGCTCCAGCATGTGCCATACAGGCAGACAATCTCTAAAACAAATTAAGTAAAATTTATTTTTAAAATAACTAGAGATATCAGCTTACCCTTTGCTCTTAGAGACCAAACCAAGAGACTGACTCAACCGATGAATAAAGGCTCTTTCAGTACTAGTCAAAGAAGAGGGAAATTCCATTTCTACATGGGGGAAAAGAAGAGTAATATTAGTGGACAATTTTCTTTTTTTTTAATCTTATTTTTTTGGGGGTCCGTTGTGGGGCCTGAACTCAGGGCTTGGGCACTGTCCCTCAGCTCTTCAGCTCAAGGCTAGCGCTCTACCACTTGAGCCACAGCGCCACTTCCGGCTTTTTACTTTTTGCTTATGTGGTGTTGAGGAATCGAACCCAGGGCCTCAGGCATGCAAGGCAAGCACTCTACCACTGAGCCCCTTCCCAGCCCTAGCGGACAATTTTCTTGCAAGTAAAGCAAATATAAATACAAAACAAGTAACCTATATGCGTATATAAGCAATCAAACTTACACTTTGTGTGAAGAGTAAACGTTAATAACTACCCCAGTGGCTACCAGAATTCATATTCGTTTTTTAAACTATGTATTAAACTAATTTCACCAAAAATGATTCTTCTCATTTGTCCTGGACTCTTAAGTCCTGCATTAAGGCGAGTGAGCAAGTGGGGACAGACAGACTGGGTCTGGTCCCACACACACACACTACCCCACCCCCGCCCCCCGCCCCGGCCCCGACCCCGGCCCCGGCCCCGACCCCAGCCCGACCCCGACCCCGGCCCCGGCCCCGACCCCGACCCCGGCCCCGACCCCGGCCCCGGCCCCGGCCCGACCCCAGCCCGACCCCGACCCCGGCCCCGGCCCCGGCCCCGACCCCGACCCCGACCCCAGCCCGGCCCCGGCCCCGACCCCGGCCCCGACCCCAGCCCGACCCCAGCCCGGCCCCGGCCCCGGCCCCGACCCCGACCCCAGCCCGGCCCCGGCCCCGACCCCGACCCCGACCCCGGCCCCGACCCCAGCCCGGCCCCGGCCCCGACCCCGACCCCGACCCCGGCCCCGACCCCGACCCCGGCCCCGACCCCGACCCCGGCCCCAGCCCGGCCCCGGCCCCAGCCCGACCCCGGCCCCGACCCCGGCCCGACCCCAGCCCGACCCCGACCCCGGCCCCGGCCCCGACCCCGACCCCGGCCCCGACCCCGGCCCCGGCCCCGGCCCCGCACCCCGACCCCGGCCCCGGCCCCGACCCCGGCCCCGACCCCGGCCCCGACCCCGGCCCCGGCCCCGACCCCGGCCCCAGCCCCGACCCCGGCCCCGGCCCCGACCCCGGCCCCGGCCCCGCACCCCGGCCCCGACCCCGGCCCCGACCCCGGCCCCGACCCCGGCCCCGACCCCGGCCCCGGCCCCGACCCCGGCCCCAGCCCGACCCCGGCCCCGGCCCCGGCCCCGACCCCGGCCCCGGCCCCAGCCCGGCCCCGGCCCCAGCCCGACCCCGGCCCCGACCCCGGCCCCGGCCCCGGCCCCGACCCCGGCCCCGACCCCGACCCCGGCCCCAGCCCGACCCCGGCCCCAGCCCGACCCCGGCCCCGACCCCGACCCCGGCCCCAGCCCGACCCCGGCCCCAGCCCGACCCCGGCCCCAGCCCGACCCCGGCCCCGACCCCGACCCCGGCCCCGGCCCGACCCCGGCCCCGACCCCAGCCCGGCCCCGGCCCCAGCCCGACCCCGGCCCCGACCCCGGCCCCGGCCCCGGCCCCGACCCCGGCCCCGACCCCGACCCCGGCCCCAGCCCGGCCCCGGCCCCAGCCCGACCCCGGCCCCGACCCCGACCCCGGCCCCGGCCCCAGCCCGGCCCCGGCCCCGGCCCCAGCCCGGCCCCGACCCCGGCCCCAGCCCGGCCCCGGCCCCGGCCCCGACCCCGACCCCGACCCCGGCCCCGGCCCCGGCCCCGACCCCGGCCCCGACCCCGGCCCCGGCCCCGCCGCACACCCCCACCTCGCTGGTCCCCGTATCGGAAGCGCTCCAGGGCGATGTTCACGGCGATCTTCACCTCCTCGTCGATACGAATGTCCTTGAGTCCCTTGGCCCGGCCGCCGCCCCCGGGACCCCCCGAGGCCGGGCCGCCCGCGCCCGGGGCCGGCGGCCGCGGGGAGACGCTGCTGGGCCTCGACATGGCCCTGAGGAGATGCTCGCCCCGCGCCGACGCCGCCAGGCCTGCGGTGGGCGGACGGGGAACCGGGGACCGGGACGAGGGGCTGTGTGGGAGGGGGGGGTGAACGGGGCGCCTCGGGCGGGGCGAAGGCCGCGGCCGCTCGGCGTCACCAAACAGCCCTCGCTCGCCTCAGCAGACGCGGCGGACGGCGAGCGGCGCGCCACCGAAGCCGTCCCGGCGAGGCCCGGAGTGCGCATGCGCGGGGACGTCCCGCCCGCCTGGGGTGGGGGTGAGGGGAGTAGGCGAAGGAGACGTCGGCGCCGTGACGTCAGCGCGTCGGCCGCGTGCGGCTGGGTCCGGGCTCCGCCTCGCTGCTCGCCCGGAAGTCCCCGTCAGGCGCTCGGCGGGTGCCGCTCGGGTGTCGCTCTCCTTCTCGCGTCCGGCCTCGCCCTGCACACGCCGCTCACCTCACACCCCTCTTCCTTCAACACGGGGGGCTCCCCGCGGTGCGCCCGGCGTCGGGGGGGGGGGAGCCGCGCGGGCCCGGCCGGCGGGGGGCGCGCGAAGCCCGTCCGGCCCGGCGCGCGGCGGCCCGGGGATTCCCGTTCCGCTCGGGACGGCCGGGGACTTGCACCCCGGCCGGGCCGCCTTCGCGGGGGACGCGGCGCGGACGCGGCTTTACTCCTTCTTCGCCTGACGTTTCCAGGTTCCCGCCGACTGGACCCGTGGACGTTTTCGCTGGCCGCGCAGACCCGTGGGGCGTGACGGACCCTGAGCCAGCCCTCGGCCAGGGGGTGGACCCAGGTGGGGCGTCCCGGAGGCCGGGCGGGGGGGGGGGGGAGGGGAAGGGAGGGGGGAGGGAGGGGAGGGGGGAGCTAATGGGAGCCCCACTGGGAGGTCTGGGGTTCCCTCCCCCCCATAGCTAATCCCAACCTCCCTAATTCCTGAAGATCTAGTCTTCCCCAGGAGCGATCTTGTTCATATGTATTATGTATTTTTATATACATAATGCGTGTTATGCATAATTATATAGTGTAGATATTAAATATTACATATCGTATGATACATAATATATACTACTAAATATATGTATTATATATATATATGAGCCAAATGAGAGGTCAGCTGTCAGACTAGTAATGTGTGAAGCCCTGCGTTAAAACCACACACACACACACACACACACACACACACACACACGGCTGGGAAGGTGGCTCAGTGGTAGAGCGTTTGCCTCGCATGCATGAGGCCCTGGGTTCGATTCCTCAGCACCACATAAGCAAAAAAGAAAAAAGCCGGAAGTGGCACTGTGGCTCAAGTGGTACAGCACTAGCCTTGAGCTGAAGAGCTGAGGGACAGCGCCCAGGCCCAGAGTTCAGGCCCAGGACTCCTGGGTGGCAAGAAGACTCCACCCTCCTGGCAGCAAAGTCTCCACCCAGTACCTTCGTTACCTAGGCAACTGGCACACCTGGAAGAAGTCACATCTGTATCCCCTGAGGTCAGATCTGAATTTGATGTGGCCACACCTTTCTCCACCCATACCCTAGATAAGGCCTAGTCCAGGCCCAGATGCTCTCCTTTCTAGTTAGTTCTTTTCTCTTTCTTTCTCAGCTCTCTCTCTTTCCCAGCCACGTGGAGGGCCAACATGGCCTGGTGCCAGCCAGAGCGATGAATAAACCTACCCCTTACCTGAATACCATGTGTGTGGTGCTGTTCTTACTCTTTTTAAAAACCTAACACGTCTTTCCATAAAGCAAAACAGACCACAGAACACCTGTAACACCTACAAGAATTGGAATTCACAGCTCATCTTCAGCTAAAGAGCTTGTTTAATTCCCAACATGTTAGTCAGTTTCTAAAAGCTTGGTAGAGTGTCAGATTGTCACAGGGTTACGAATTACATTAGAAACAACCCATAAAACAAGCACTCAAGGGAGGTAGGGATCAGGAGGATTGCAAGTCAAGGCCAGCTGCAGCAAACAAGATTTCCCCATCTCAACCAATAAGCCAACATAACGGCATTCCAGCTCCTCAGCAATCACAGGAAGGAAGATCTTGCTGAGTCCAGCTGTAAGCAAAAACAAGAGATGCAATCTAGAAAAGAAAGCAAAAAAGCATGGAGGAAATGGCTCAACTGGTAAAGCACTGCCTAGAAGGAAAAGGCCCTGAGTTCAAAACCCCAGCAATAGCCCAAAAAAAGAAAAAGTCACATCTTGATCTGCTGCCCTTCATAGAATGAGTTGTGACACACAACGAGGTCTTGCTGACTCCGTCCCCACAGCTTTGGAAGGGGACAGTCCTGGTCTGACCATCATGTCCTGCCCAACATGCAGTGTTGGTGCTGCACAACCCAGTCCCCTGAAGTTATGGACACGGGTTTCCAGACATGACCACTTCCATTCCTGCAAGTCTGCGGAAAAGATCGAGGGTCCTCGGACCCTCAAGGCCATTACTCCTTTGTGATCCTGCCGCCTTCTTCCTTTGCCTTCACTTTGCATCAGTAAACTTGCTCCCACTCGTGTCTCCTTTCCATCTATCCTTGAATTCTTTCTAGAACCTTCCAGGCCCTCTGACCTGGTAACAGCTAGAGCTGCCATACACCATTTCCAGACTTGATCTCTAAAGCATTTCTTTAGTCCTCCATCCAGAGTAGTGGAGAATTCCTGGGGCTCAAGGGTCCAGAAAGGGTGGACACTGAGACCAGGCCATGGGCTTTGAAGTTCTTAGCCCATGGCAGAGCAACTGGATAAGAGAATTCCTGCTGAGTTTCCTCAGCTTAAAATTGTGTTAGGCAAGAAATAATCCTCAAGCTGGGTACCAGTGGCTCATGCCCGTAATCCCAGCTACTCAGGAGGCTGAGATCTGAGGATCTCAGTTCAAACCCAACCCAAGCAGGAAAGTCCATGAGACTCTTATCTCCAATGAACAACCTAAAAATTGGAAGTAGAGCTGTGGCTTACCGTGGTAGAGTGCTAGCTCTGAGCAAAAAAACTCAGGGGCAGTGCTCAGGTCCTGAGTTCAAGCCCCATGACTGACAAAAATAAGGAGAATCCTTAGTTGGAGGAAGCCACTGAGATTTTTGGAGATGTTTCAATAACTTGTTTGATGATTCCTTTCACAGCTGGCTAGGGAATCTCACTTCCTGAATTCACACCCTGCACACCCTCCCACACGGACTCTGCCCTTTGCACATGCACTTTGCTTTAGCTATTGGGCCATCAGCAAATATACACAGAAGTTTGAAAGGTATTTGTGCATTGCAGTTTACCCACCTCTTCCTGGTGAGAAGTCTTCCACCAAGTGCACACACTTAGATTAGCCAGCCAGCAGTCAGCACTAGTGTCAGACCAGTGGAAGAAGCCGTATTGGAAAGCCAAGCCTCAAACCAGCTGCCAAGGGTGAAGTTAGCTTTACGCCCATCTTTGGTCCTCAGCTCCACCCAGCCCTGAGCTACTGCCTGCCCTGGAGTTCCCGCCCTACAGTTGGCCACTCCCTCTCTCCACCCAGACCCACCTGAGCACACACCTACCTTACTTCCTGCCCCCAGACCCTCCTGCTACCTGAATAGGGACGGATTCCATGCGTTCCCTCTTCAGGGGGAAATATGGCTTCTCGAATACTCCTTGTATTAATCTTTCTCTTGCTCCTGCTTGCCTTTGGGTGGTCCCCTGGGATGGGCATGAAGGATCCTTTCAAGCAGGACTCCTGCAGCTCCCCAAACACCAAAAACTTCTGTCCACACAATACACGAGTCAATAAAAGGGATATCGCACCAGCACGGTAAGTGTTCGGTTTGTTCCATAGCAACCGATAAGTAATACACACAGCTAGTTCTGACTAATACCTTGGGAGAGCCATAAGGCGGAGCTGACCCAGAACGGAATGGACCAGGAGGTAAGGACTCAACAGGTCCAGTTCCTGTCCCGCTACTCAAGGACCAGGGAATGTCAATCTTGTGATTTGCTTGCACAGGTCTTGGGACATGCTGCTGTGTCACAGCACAGCGGTCTGGGAACTGTTCACTCAGGCGACTCTTCTGTGAAAGTGGCTGGTGATCTAACACTCCTAAACTTTGACCTGTATGCTTTTATTATGCTGTAACAAATACTCCCTTCCACCCTTCGCTTCCTCACCACGTCCATCTTCCACCCTTTCACCTCTTCCATCCCTTGTTCAGCTAGGTCACTTCAGGTCTCTTATTTCAAGGAAGGAATACTGACTTGGGTTGGTTTTGGCTTCCTACAAGTTGAGAAAGGAGAGAGTCAAACATTTTCTTTTTTGTTTGTTTTGTGCCTGTCTTCCGGCTTGAACTCAGGGCTTGTGCACTGTCCCTGAGCTTTTTGTGCTCAAGGCTAGTGCTCTCTACTGCTTGAGCCACAGCGCCACTTCTGGCTTTTTTGGTGTTCAGTTGGAGATGAGAATCTCAAGGACTTTCCTGCCCAGGCTGGCTTCAAACCTGGATCCTCAGATCTCAGCCTCCTGATTAGCTAGGATGACAGGCGTGAGCCACCAGCGCCCGGCTGGAGTCACTAGTAAGCCACTGCCCTTGCTCCCATGAGAAAGAAGAAAATAAAAATCCCAGACAAACTGGGAGCCCCTAAACCACCATAGATTCCAGCAACAGTGTGCTGCTGCTGGCCTGATCCCCACGGAACACCTGTTGAAGTTTAATCTCACTGTGAGGCTTGGGATAGAAATTGAATCCAGCTGTGGCATCCAGAGGTGTGGGGGTCTTTAAGAGGTGATCAGGATTATGAAGGTCACTAGGGTAGAGCCTCCATCATTTAATACTGGGAGGATATGCTCTCAGATGCCCTCAGATGCCCCCGGGTGCCCTCCCTGCTTAGTGCCATGTGATGTCCTGCTCTCCAGTTTTGCCTGCCACAGCTAAATGTGGACCCCCTTGACTTTGGACCAGAAATGTGAGGGAATAATGTGAGAGAAATTTCTCCTTAGAACCTGCCCAGCCTGCGGTCTTGTGTTATCAATAAAAAGTGGACTCAAGTAGCTGCTTTCCTAAGCAGAACCCCAGAATGCCCCCGGGTCTCAAATGGGCAGGCGATGACACTTGTGGGTCAAGTATCAGGATCAGAAACCCCCTCTCCCATTTCTTAGTGCTCTGAGACCCTAGCAGTCCTCTAGAACTTAAAACTATAAAACCTACGCAAGCCGGGAGTCAGTGGCTCACGCCTGTCATCCTAACTACTCAGGAGGCTGAGATCTGAGGATCACAGTTCAAAGCCAGCTGGGGCAGGAAAGTCCATGAGACTCTTATCTCCAATGAGCCACCAAGAAACCGGAAGTGGCGCTGTGGCTCAAGTGGTAGAGCGCTCTCCTTGAGCTGAAGAGCTGAGGGACAGCACCCAGGCTGAGTTCAAGCCCCACGACCAACCAAAAGCAAAACAAAAAAACCTAGGCAAAAAGTGGGGATTAGTTGGGCAAAGTGGTTCATGCCTATAATCCTAGCTACTCTGGAGGCTGAGAGCTATGATCAAGATTTGAGGCCAGCCTGGGCAGACAAATCAGAGAGACTTAAGTAATCATCAAAAAAGCTAAAGTAGAGCTGTGGCTCAAGTGGTAGAGTACTAGCTTTGAGAGAGAGAGAAAAAAGCTCCAGGACAAGGCCCAGGTCCCTGAGTTCAAGACCCAAGACTGCCACAACAAAAAAATAATAATTTAGATTAAGTGAAGTTTACAGAGAAATCAAGTTCCGACTTACCTGAATCTATAGAATGAAATCTTCTCCCATTACCCAGGGTTTAAGTAATTGTAAAGTACTTCATCTGTATGGTTTGATCCATATGTTATGGACAAAAACGGGAATCTTAGCCGGGTGCCGGTGGCTCACGGGTGTAATCCTAGCTACTCAGGAGGCTGAGATCTGAGGATCGAGGTTCAAAGCCCACCCAGGCAGGAAAGCCTGTGAGACTGATCTCCAATAAGCCACTAGAAAATGGGAAGTGGTAGAGCGCTCGCCTTGAGCTGAAGAGTGCAGGGACAGCATTCAGGCCCAGAGTTCATGCCCCATGACTGACAAAAAATAAATAAAAATAAAAAATAAATGGGAATCTTGCGATGCCCTGTGTATTTATTACTTACCTACCTGTCTCCATGGCAATCAACTTGAAGTGTATATTACAGGTTGGCCACAAGGTGGTGCTAGAAAGTTATCTTATGCTGGTAGATCTAGCACCTTAAGGGCCCTGATTTTAACATGCAATTTCCTGAATTCTTGTAATAATAGCTGAAATTATAGCAAAACTTGAGATGACAGCCACTGAGTTCATGTGAAGCTGTACTTAAATT